GCGGATGTTGAAGGCGTAGGTGGGGTCCCCGCCGCTGGCCAGTTTGACGCAGAGCTGGGACGAGGGGACGCAGCCCAGCTGCCGCGCGGCCTGGCAGAAGTAGGAGTTCTCAGAGGAACGGATCTCCCCTGCCCGACACAAAGGGGAGAATGAACCTCCAGCCTCACAAACAGGCAGTGAGCTGGGGAAAAGCTCTGGCTTGTTGCAATTGGGGTTGGAAAGGATCAGTGCTTGCTGTACCTCCGACGATTTCCAGGGGATCCAGGGTGATTTCCGGGGCTGCGTGGTCAGCAGTTCTTTGGACAGTGGCATTGAGCACTCTGTTCATGACTGTGACTTTTGTGTCATAAAAGATTAAACCTGAAGAAACAAACATCTTTCAGCAGAGGTAATCTACCCCCATAATTCTCCAGTGGACAATGGTAGAATAAACATTTCACCTTCAAAACCATAGGTAAGACATGGCTGATCTAAAATTTTTTTTAAAAGTATTTCACAGGATCATGGAATGGTTTACATGATTCCACTCATCCAGTTCCACCAGGGACACCTTTCATAGTCCAGGTTTCTCCAAGTCCCATCTATTTGTTCCTCATGGTTTTTGGAATAAGTGCACTGGGATGAAACACTGATGAACACAGTTCCAATGTTCTAAAAATAGATCCCAGCAACTCCACCACAATCTCTGTAAATAGGAACACTGTGCCAAATAGTTTTCAGCAATCTGAGATGTTTTGACAGTAAAGCTACAGGCAAGAAATGATGATAAAAAATAGGGCTGTGACACTGCCCCAAAAATATATTTAATACCTCATATCTCTGTGAAGAGAAATCTCTGAACATTCCTCACACCCCCACACTGGTTCAGGAGTGGTTTTTCCAGCTGGGCCAATACAAAAACCTTTCACACACTGACACCCCTGGTAAATTCTCTATCTTCAGAAAACAAATCTGGGCAATGTAATGCCCCAAATCTTGGGGGTTTTTTGGTGTCTAATGAAGGCTGTAAAAATACTCTGATGCACTTTGAGTATTTTCTTGATCTTGCTAATGCTACAACAGCAAAATCCCGGGACTTTCACCTGACCTGCTTGTTAACCAACGAAGAGCTTTAATTTCTGGATACTCCCAAGAGGATAAAGACCCACAGACACAGAAGATGGAACAACTCCCTCTGCGGTCGTGGTGTCACGAGGATAATGCCCCTCTCCTTTAAAAGCAAACCAAGGCAGAGGTGTCCTGCAGCCGTGCCCCAGGGCCAGAGCCCAGCTACCTTTGGCCTCCTGCAGCAGGGCAGCGATGCTGTTCCCGTACATGTCGGTCTGGCGCAGCTCCACCAGCGGCAGGAAGAAGGTCTCCAGGGTGGTGTTGAGGGACTGCAGCAGGGCGAAGCGCAGCCGCAGGCTCTCCACGGGGACGTCTGCAGGGGGAAACTCCCAGTCAGAGTCAGGAACAGGCTCCTGTTCCACCTCCTGCAAAGCCCAGGTTTGGTCCCGGAGCCGCACAAAGCAGCACCTCTGAGCCCCGTGCTGAGGATGCAGGAACAGCATCCCTGATGTTCCTTCCTGGATCTCCAGTCTCTGGGTGTGAGCACAGAATCTCCCATTATCACTGAATTTCCCCCTTGAAGGGCTTAGAACAGGATTTAGGTGTCTAAAATCTGTGGAAATTAAGCCTTCCTTCCCCTGCAAGCTGAACCCACCAGGTATTTCCTGCTCCAGCCTGAGCTGGAAACTCAGCTTGGAGAGCGGGGAGCAGCTGCAGTGCATCCCTGACTTTACCCAAGCACACCCCCAAGGAGAGAGAAGAGCCAGACTCAGCACTCCCCTCATCCCACTGAGCCTCTAATGGAACACCAGGAGCATTCCCAGCTCTTCCCTTGAAAAAAGCCTTTAGGCCAACCATCCACACGTACTCAGGAGACAGGAAATCCTGGGATCTGCTGCATCAGCTGGGTCCAGGTACACCTCGTGGGGGTGGAGGCGGGCGGGGGTGATGGCCAGGTGGCGGCACAGGCGGTTGATGTACTGCACCAGGGCCACGTCCATCTCCAGGCTCCACTTGCGCGACGCCTTCTGCGCGTGTCTGGCGTCGATGCAGGCGCACCTGGCAGGGACAGGGCAGAGCTGCTCGCCCACAGGGTGCTGGACAACTACACCTGGGGGAGGATTACACATGGTGCCCTGCTCTTCACTCCCCTTTCCTTAAGCAGAGCTGTTCCATGACAAGAATTCCAGTGTGAGGCCAAGAGCTGATTCATCACTTCTCCTCACTGGTATTAAATAATTAGGCACAAAGGCACTCCCTATTAAGCTCTCTTAGCGCACTATCTCCTCTGGAGATGATAAGGGGCAATTAGCCTATGGTCTGACACATGCAGATAAGGAAAATTCATTTAAGGGACTTTCTTCCTCTACAATATTAAGAAGAAATTTAACAGTTCTCTCTTCTAAAGCATTTCTGACCCAGTAACAACCCCGCCAGTTAAACAATGACCCAGTGCACTAGCTGGGGAAGGAAACCAGAGACAGACGTGGAGCTACAGTTCCCTTCAGGTAATTTATTATACAGTTTGGAAGCTCTAAAGGACACTGTGGCATCTGATTTTATCAGCCACGCTGTGCACAAGAAATCAGGACCTGCATTTGGACAGCACGTGACTTTTAAAATGCATTTTGAGAAATAACTGATTTCCCTACAGGCCTTGCAGCCACGGATGGAAGTGTTGAAGCTTCTTGGATTAGGAAGACTTGGGATCAAGTGAGCACAGTGAGTAAGTATCACCTCCTCAGAGAGATCTGCAAGCTGTACCTCTCAAAGTGCAGGTCGTAGCCACAGGACAGGATGGCTCTCCACACGCTCCGGATGTCCTGCTTGGAGCGGTCCACCACGAACCGGTGGAATCCATCCAGGGTCAGGTACTTCTCCTCAGGAACTGCCACCAAACGTGGACCAGCAAAGAGTTCGTGACTTGCCATGAAGTTCTCACCCCACACAGGAGCAGGAGGCTGCTGCCAGTTTCCTCCTGCTGTCCCATCCCACCATGAATCCTTTCCCATGGTGTTCCACCTATCACACGTTGGTCAAGTCCACCTCAATGACACCTTCTCACTCCCCTAAAGGGCTCAAATCCCTCACTGCTCCTCTGGAATACCTCCCACTAACCTTACTTGGCTGGATGCTGAAATTCCCCTTCTCTGAGCCAGGAAGAGGGGAATCCAAACTCGTGCCTGTTCAGTCTTCCACCAGACTAAAGTTCTGAGCACAACCTCTGTCCCCCATGGCTGTGCTGACTCCTCCAGAAGTTCTGAGCTACCTCAATCATCTTTTTTATCCAATTTTCCACTTGTAACTGAAGAATTTAAACCCACCTGGTTCAAATCCATAATATCCCAAACCTCCACTGCATCAAAGCCTTGGAACTACCCCTTAGGAAGTTCTCTGTCTGGTTTATTGACATGCCCTACACACTGCTGCAAGAATTGCTGGCTCTCACACTGATGGCCCAAGATTCTCAGAGACACAAATAAAAGCAGCATTTTAAATCACTATTTTAAAAAAGTTAGACTTTTCAGAAATAAAGATAAACCAAATATGTCAATAAAAATAGTTTTCTATGATAAAAACTATAAAAAATTCTCTGCAGCTCCCACCTTCCTGTTTCTTAGTGGGAGACTTCTCAGGGTCCTTCTCCTCAGGTTTGCTCTTCTCAGGAGATTTGGGCTTTACAGTGGGTTTCTTCTCACTTAAGGCTGTCCGGCTGAGGGACAAAGTGGGTGTTAGGATCAAAATTTTTCTTTCATTCTGCTCACAGAACCCCAAAATTGTTTGGAAGGATCCTAAAACCCAAACACTTCCACTCCTGCCATGGATTACTGCAAACCCTGTCCAGCCTGAGCTGTGTTTTGGAATAAGTACACTGGGATAGAACACTGACAAACACAATTCCAATCTTCCATAAATAGATCCCAACAACTCCACCCCAATCGCTGGAAAAAGAAAAGTTTTGCCAAATAATTTCCAGAAATCTGAGATGTTCTGACATTAACACCACGGCCACGTTTCCCTGTTCCAATACACAGAAGCACAGAGGGACGGGGGACAAAAATCTGGATTTCTACACTGAAATCCAATATTCCACAAGTGCCACAAGGCTGAGGACACCCACCTGACACTGTTGAGCATGGACTTCTCCTTGGTGGGGGGTTTGGTGACCGGGCGCTTGGTGCTCACCACCTTCACCGGGTGCTGCTCCTTGCCTGCCTTGTTGTACTTGCTCTTGTCAAATTTGGGCTTGGGAACTCCGTATTTCCTTAAAATCTTCCAAGACAAAAAGGGAATCATCACCCAGTGCTTTCAAGTGGCACCACAAGAGGCTGAGAACAGCTGGCAAAGCTCTACCTGGGTCAGCTGGTCCTCCAGCACCTTCTTGGGAGGGCGGACGTTGGTGAAGAAGACGTGGAGGAGGTTCCCAGGGGTTTGGGAATTGATCTGCTCCTTGCTGAGGTAAATGTCAGCCACCTTGATGGGCTTAGCTGGGGTCAGGCTCAGCATTTGCTCTGAATGGACACAGCTTTTAAAGATCTCTGTGAGAACTTCCCGAGCACCCGGGACCAGTTTTTCACCTAATTAAAAGAAAACCAACAATTTGGTACAACACACCGTGAGAACTGGTTAGAATTCAAAATATGAAAATAGATTTTGCATTCAGATAAAATATTCTTTCACACAGCACCTGCTTTGAGATGGAAAAATCACTTTTGCGAGGGGGAAAAAAAAATCGTTTTTTCAGTGAAAAACCTGCTCCTTCTGTACCCCATTAAATACAGAATTGGCCACATCCTGTAATTATTACTTGAGGGAGTAGTGGGGATGAAAAAAGCAGCTTATTTATCATGCCAGGATAAAAATTATGTTGTACAGGCAGACACCAACACCCATCAACTAACTGAACTAGCAGCCAAAAGTTATTTCAGTGACTATTTTCTCAAAAGAAATCCCTGAAGAATTAAATCAGTAGTTTTTTGTGTTAATGAGGAGTGTTTATTTGTTTATGATTTATTTGATTAGCTGGGTGGACAACTGAGCAATGTTCAGCTTGCAAATAGCCCCTGGAGGGATAAAACTTACTTTGGAATTTCTCCCTGGCTCGTTGTCACCCCTGATTTATACTGAACCAAGGAGAGCCTGAGCCCTGTTCATTCCCCAAAATGCTGAACACAGGAGGGATATGCCAGTATCAAACCACCTACCTTTTATTGACTTATCATTGAAATAATCTTCTAGTGCTGGGCTCCCCTGGGTGTCAAACAAACTCTGATTTACAGTGGAAACAGTTAAAATCTCTTCAGTTGACATCTCCATGAGCTCATCCTCCCCATCCAGGCTGGACAAGCCAATGAGGTCACTGCTGTTGAAGAGGCTGGCTCGGATTTTCTCTATTTTAGCTCTTGACCTTATCTGTACAAATAATGAAATAAGTTCATAGCAATTCTGAGAAAACAAATTCATTTCCATTCATAGGAATTTGAGGTTTAAACTTTTTTTCCCCCTCCCCATTCTGATAATCATTCTTGCTTCTCTTCTCTGCTGCATCAGTAATTTGATGGCAAAATTCAGGTTCAGCCTAGAAAAGATCCTTTCTGAGAACACTGAGATCCTCATGCTGGGAGTTAACCAGGCACAGCTCTGACCCTATCCCATTTCTCAGGCTGGAGACAGCCCTTGGGAACAGCAGGGAAGGAGCAGAAGGTGGCAGCCAGGTAAGCTGGCATTATTTGTAACTCTGCTGTCCCTGCCTCAATTCCCACTCTGAAAAATCTCAATTAGCACAGGCCTTGAAGCTTCAGCTACACAGATTGGGAAGGGGAACAGCAACTTCCTCTGATTCCCAGAATAACCACTACCAGAGCAGCTCCAGACTTGGAATAGTTTCCATGTGAACACTCTGGCAGCTTTCTCTCCACACTTAATGCTTTATTTCAATGATGCCTTCACGTCAATTAACAGCTCAAGAATAGCAACTTGCACAGTTTTCATCTGAATAAGCTGATTTTCTTCTAAAAAAGGAACTGATACAATCCCAGACTATACAAAAACATCTCTCTCCATCCCCAGGCTCTCAGGAATGACTGTGCTTTTGGAAGCTCCTGATAAATCTGCAGCAGGCAATCTGTGGAAGCAGCAGAGAGGAAGGTTCTTGAACAGAGCTGAACACCTGGAGTGACCCAGCACCGACGGCAACCACCCACAACGCTTTTAAAAATTAATCTGGAACCAGAATCAGAGAGCAACAAAATCTATCATGTCTCCTAAAGTAGCTTCATAGAGAAATCCAAAGGTGGTTCAAAATAGGTGGAAATGTACTGATTAAACATTAAAGAATTGTCTTGTGGGTCAAACAAAAAGGGCCCCAATCTCTAAATTCATCTCAGTGGTGGCCAGAACAAATCTTAGAGAAAGGCACACGAAAGAGGAAATTAATTGATCTTTCCCCTGACATGCTCTCCCAGCCACTGCAAAGCAGTTTAAATATTTCCTCAGTTGGAAGTTGCACTGGCTGCTGTGCTCCACAGCTACCAATCCTCCAGGAATTTAATCCCTTAAGAATTAATTTATAGTCTTGGCTTCAGCAGCACTCTGTGAAAACAAGCTCTACAAGCTGGAACACACAAGAGCTCTTCCCTACTTCCTTCTGTTCTCCACTTATTGCTGGATCACTCCACTACTGCGTCCCTCTGTCCTTTGAGAGACAGGGATTGCTCCTAAGACTATGAAGGTGGACAAGGGAATTCTGTGCCCCTCAGGCATCCTGTCCAAGCTGAGAACTCCCAGCTTCCTATGCTCTTAGACATGGAAAAAGCCAGTTCCTAGAGCGAGATCCCATTCTCCCCAAAACCCTGGCTGCAGAGATCCCTCTCCGTTACCTCCACCACAGCGAAGCCCTTGATGGGCCGTGCCAGCAGCGGCTGATTGTCCAGAGATGTCACCGTGTACATGGAGCCCACGTCCGACACCGACGCCGTCTCCACGTTGTCCAGGGGCTCCCCGAGGCTGCCCAGGCTGCCCAGGCTCCCGGTGCTGCAGTGGGAAAGATCCAAACTCTCCTGGCTGGACACCACGTGCGGCTGCTCCAGCAATCCGGGCGGGATGGGCAGCTCCAGCCCTGCCTGGAACTGGTCCACGGAGATGTCGCTGACGGTGCGGGATATTCCCTGGGAGCTGCAGAGGGAAGCCTGGCTGGTGGATGCCGAGGCACTGACGCTCATGGCCGGGGTGACGCTGCTGGAGCTGCTGATGTCCAAACTGTCAGCGCTGCTGGAAACCGTCGGCTTTTCCAGCTCCGTCCTGCACTCGCCTCCTTCTGCTTTGTCCTTGGTTTTTTTGGGATCCTCTTCCTGCAGAGGGATGTAGATCTCATCCTTGAAGACCCCGCCGTGGGCGTTGCAGGCCTTCCTGATGGCGTTCCTGACGGTGCCCTCCTCCAGGTGCGTGGGGATGCCGGAGATGACGAGCAGGCGGCTGTGGGCCGTGGGTCCCACCAGGGCCTGGCAGGCGTCTGCCACGGCATCGTTGGTCACACCCAGCCCCTGGGGGTCCTTCTTTGTCAGGTGCCTGAGGATTATCAGCAGGGTCAGAGCCCTGTGGAACCACAGCATGTCCTCAGGCTTGCTGCCCCCGATGCTGAGGAGCGCCGCGTCCGTATCAGCTGCCCTGGAGGAAGCCCTTTTCCCCGAAGCTGAGGTTTTTTCCCGCTTCATTTTGACTTTTTTCCTCTTGGACAGCAAGCTCGGGCTCTGTGGTGTCTGCCCTGGGGAAGATGAGGACGAGGAGGAGGAGTCACTAAGATTTGGGGCACTGGTGGATGAGATCACATTGGCTGTCACGCTCATGTTGATAGGCAAGGTGACTTCTGCCACAGCCAGGCACACTTCCATCAGGGCGTGGAAGTACGTGGAGAATCTCCCCTGGTCGGCAACTCCAACCCCAGAGCCACCACAGGCATTCCCAGACACCCAGTTCTGGGTTTCCTCATCGTAGAGCTTGTGCAGCTCTGACTGCAGGGCCATGAGCATGGCCAGGCAGGGGTTGAGCTGCAGGGCGATGGATGAGGACAATCCTGCTGGATTCTTCTTCTGCTCCAGATTGTGGATTTTGCGAAGCAGCTCGGCCAAGAGGTGAAAGATCAATTCCTTCACACACGCTGCCATGTCAGTTGTCCAGAGGAAGTTGCCTGTGTGAGGAATGCAAGGCATGGCAGTTAGCATGCTGTGTTTCACTCTTAGCAGAAAGGAACATTTAAAAAAGCACCAGAAAAACCAATTTCAATGTCATGGCAGCAGTAAGCAAGACAAGATTATTCCAAGAATTGCAAATCAACAGAAAATTTCTGAAGGTTGAAGAAAATTTCATTATAGTGGAAAAGCTCAGAAAATTTCAACTGTAGTTTTTGTTTCCTAAACTCTCCACCTGAGCCAGCACATTATCAGTGCTCATTACTCCATTCTCACCTAAAAATTCCACTACTTGCAAGAGAACTGAGGCAGGAATTGTATCCAGTTCATCTTCAGATTTTCCATCCCCATCTTCTAATTTCCAGGTTAAGAGCTGTTCTGTGAATGCCATTGCCAGGGGGAATTCCAAGGGGAGGGAATGCAAGACCAGTACAGCTCCAGGAGGAGGAGACACTCCTAAGCAAAAAGATCCAAGAAAATCCTTATCATGATTCTGAGCATTGATAAAAATAGCAACATTTGGGATTTTTTCAAACTTCTGTTAAGTGAGAATTTCCTCTGCAGCACTTTGTAATAAACAAATAGGAACATTTCTCTATATTGATAAGTTAATATAATCTATAATTATAAATGAACAGAGAACATTTCATTCACATAAAGAAATAAAATAACCTTAAGCCTGAACATATCTAAATATATAAACAGAACTTCCCCCAAAATAATTTATTTCTGTCTGATGGGTACTGAAAAAAACATCACCAGAAGAACTTCAGGATCTCCAAGGGGAATTTTTAAGAACTCACTGCACTCAGTCACCTTCACTGACCTAAATCCCACTGTCCCTCTCTCTGGGCAAGAGTAAGAAGAACATTAATGATTCTTCTTACTGGAGTGACCTAAGTATTGCTACACTGCATTATTCTGTGGATAAGAGGGTCCTACAAAAACCTAAAAAAGCAATAAAAAATATTCTCCACCTGAAACAGCTCCTCAAACACCAACACTGCAGAAATTAGTATTCTGAATAAAATATTTCAAATACAAACACTGCTGGGTGAACTCCTGGAATATAAAAATCAGAATCAGATGGTTGCCAATGGCCACAAACCCAGGCTTTTTTGTTTAAGAATGAATTCCTTGTACAAAAATCCTATCCTATCTGCTGCTAGGACTGGTGACCACACAGGAAGGTGCTGCAGAAGCCAAAATGAAACTGCTCTCAGCCCTGAGAGCACAGTGGAGGCTTCTCCCTCGTGCTGTGGCCGTGCTCACCCAGTTTGATGTGCACCCTGTCCGTGGGGGTGATCACAGCTGGGTACTGGTTGGTGGTGGGTGGTGGTGTGAGCCCGGTGTTGGTGGGGGAGGCGTCGCGGGGGTAGCACACGGCCTCGATCAGGTTCAGCTGCCCGTTCCTCTTCACCTTGTGCCCCAGCCCATAGACCAGCACCCGAGCCCACGGGGCCTTGTACAGGGACGAGCTGGGGAAACAGCAGCACAGCTTGGTTAGCCTCAAACCAGCTGGAAAATATCCCAGCCACCACTCAGAGTAAGTCTCGGAGAAGAGAAAACTGAAAACAAATAAATAACTCCATCCCCAGGGTGGCCAGGCTCAGACCCAGCTTTGCCACTCTCCATGACTCACTCTTTTCGGAACCCAGACTGACTTTCCTTGCAGGACACAATCACAAAGGCAGCCCCAGGAAAATTCACATCCATGTTGACCTTGGATTCAGAAATTGGGAATTCTTCGGCAGGAAATTGTTCTGGTGCTGCCTGCAACAGGACAATTCATCATGAGATCCCAAACAGCAGCAAACCTCCTCCCTCTTCTTTTATTTATAGATTGCTCTATAGCCAATGTATTTAATTAATTGCAAATTACAACACAGTGGGAGGCCACTTCATTTTAATTCAATCCAGAGCATTGCTACTGCTTCTGTTTTCAGCATGCCCACTACAATCAGGATAACAGAACCCATCCAGAGAAATAATAAACAATTCCCTGTGAGGGACAGAATCATGAAAATTTCAACCACACAGAGAACGAGGTCTCCTGAGAAGGGAACCCAACACTCGTGAAACATGAGTATTTTACCTGCAGAAAGGAGCAGATCTGTTTGGTGAGGTCCAACAGACTCTCCTCTCCCTGATGCAGTGTCCGAGTGATGGCCACAGTGAGCCACTCCCTGATGGCCTGGGAATTGCCCTGGTAGAAGAGGTCTGTGGCAGCACAGGTCTGGGAATGGATGCAGTGCTGCAGGGACTGGGCCAGGAGAATGGAGCTTGAGCTGATGGTTCCATCTGGAGTAACAAGGGAAACAGCACAGATTTGGAGATCACTCCAAATGTTTATGTAGCCTGGGAAACAAAAACTGTAAAACACCTGGAAGATTCCCAACCTCTGTGTTCAAGTGGAAAACTCCTTGCCTAAAAGTCAGCAGGATAAAGGACCCACCCAGGCCCAGCCTTGTGGCTGGGATGGCCTCTCCATGCCAGCTGTGCCCCTCACCAGCCTCAGCCCAGCCCCTGGTGAGGGCAAACATGGAGCTGTGGGGTCACCCTGGCTCGTTCTTAAATACCATCATTATTAACCAGCTAATAAAGAAATACCAAACCCATTATTATTTTTTTTTTGTCCCCAGAAAAATACTGTACCAAAGAAGAGCTGTGACAAAACCAAGTGTTTACCAGGAAGGGGTGGTGCAAGAAGCTGGTTGGAGAGCAGCTGCAGGTGCTCCAGGGTGATATCCCGGATGGCAGGAATGTGGAACAGCCGAGTGAACATGTGGGGAGATTTGGGAGCAAAAATATTGAGCAGAGCCATGCGACAGTAGAGCTTGGCCAGGGCAGCTTCACTCCTCAACAGCTCCCTAGGGAACACAAACATTAATTCTATTAATTCCTTAATATTAAATCCAACCATGACAGTAAGATTTCAGAAGTTTGTACTGCTTAGAACAAAGCTGTAGCAGGTAACTGTACTATAAGAAATGCTCTTCGGGTAATCCAAATTCAGGTAATAAAGTGCCTTGCAACTACATCTCTGTTTTCACCTGTGAATTTGGATGTTGGTGTTATCCAGGGTAACCAATCCGTTGGTTGCAGTCCTCCTGTACCCTGCAGGTGGCCTTTCCAACATGTCAATGGGATACCAGTACCTCACCAGGACCCCCTCACTCCGCAGATAGGTCTCCACTTGGACCAGTTCATTCACCTGCAACACCAAACCCAGCAGTGTCAGTAACACAATAATAATTACAACCACGTTTTTCCTTCCAAGAGAGCCCCAGTCCTGCATTATGAGCAGTTTTTGCTCCCAGCTGTGTCATGCTGATCATTAGAAGTCCTCCTAGGGTATCTTTACTCACCGAGTCCACATCCAGGACAACCCCATGAAGACCAAATGTCTTCAGCATGCCCCGAATGGCAAATTTGGGTAGAGCTGTTCCTACAGCACTGCTGGTGACGTTGTTGCTGTCAGGAGAGCGAGTCACCACGGTGAGACCTGGCAGAAAGGGACACCACTTGGAAGGTGTTTTCCTCAGGTGACAATTAGATCCTAAAAACCCCTGAGCTTTTCTTTACCCCTCCGGATCCATTGTGCTGCCCTTACCTTTCCGTACTTTATCAATTGTGAATTTGTTTGCTTCATCTTTGATATCCTCGATGGTGGGAAGGTAGAGATCCCGTGGGATGCCTCCGTTTTCCTCGTACAGGAATTCCACAGTTTGCCTTGCTATATCAACCATTCCTGAAAGACAGGAGGGAGTGCAAGTTATTTCCATCAGCCACTTGAAATAAATTCTTATCCTCACTAAGATCCCAAGCAGGTGAGTTTTCCAATTACTTAAATACGTTATCAGTCAAGCTGAAATTTGGAAATTGGGAGTTTTCCTGAGCTTCTCATCAGGGCTCAGATGTGACATTCCCATAAACACATTGTCCTACCAGACCTGAATTCCACAAAACTCCCAAATCTCCCCTCGTTATTACTTAAACCCAGAGTTTTGCCTTGACAGTCACAGACAGAAAATGCACAGATACAGTTTCTTCCCACACTATTATTCCAGAATATTTCTGTATCCACATCACAAAGAATTCTGTCACTATTTCTGAAACAATTTTCTCTATTAAATAGTCAAACACAGTAAAAGTGTTGAAGAAAAAGCATGAGCACAAGCCAAATTCTAAGCACTGAAGGGAAAGAGCAAGTAATTTTTTTTTTAAGTTTTTCAGCCCTGAATACAGTAAATTATGAAAGAAACACAGGTGTTCTCTCAGACCTCCTGCACATCACAGAAAACAACATGCATGGAAATAAATACATACCTAACTGTAAAGCCCCTTTAATCTGATCCAGCCCAGACTTCCTTTCAGCCTCATTACGGAACCTTCTTCTAATTGTAGGGAAAACTTTGGTTTCCCAGGCTTTGACCAAGAGGGCATAGTGATCCTCCTACAAACACAGAAATGTTTTAGAACACCAAGAAGTGATAAGTTACCAGCAGTTATATTTTTGTTAGGGAAGCAGGAGGAACTCTTGCATGGCTGAATTTCAAAATCTAAATGACAAAATCTGATTTTAGGCTATAAGTTAGAGGAGGCAGAGTTTGGCACATTCCTCACCCTGGGAATATCATCGTCGTCATCATCATCACTTTCATCATCTGCAATAGGAGGGGGGTGTGGATCAGGGCCTGAGGTGATGAAGTTCTCATAGCTCAGCTCCATTTTATAGTGGCAGGATGTGTCACTGTCATACTCTGCAAGACACAGAAATAATGAGATGATAATGCATGCAAAGACATCCCATGAAATTGGAGATATACAGCATTCCATGCTCTCCAATCAGGGGGTGGGAATGCAATTCCTTTTGACACAGCATAACCAATTGGCTGATCCAATCCACCGTGACATCCTATTGTATCCCAAGCCATAATGAGATTATTTCTCACTGAAAGTGCGTTAATTACAAATAATTTGCATATTCACACAGAGGAAGACCAAAGAAGATGGTTTTAATTGCCTTGTCTAAAATCAGATAAACACGGCTTTGACTTGTGGTACTGCCCCACCTAAACAAGCACTACCTAAGGCCTAAGGACTGCAGCTAGGCTGGGCTTAAACGCTATTTCCTTGCTTGGCATTTCTGCCGGGAGGGCTTGGAAAGGAGTGAATGCCACTTTACGTTGCTGAGCCGTGGCGACAGCGGCGATCCTGCAGGGGGGCCCGTGGGTGCCGGGGTCGGAGGCGATGCTGGTGCCAGCGTCATTGTCACTGTCAGAGGCCATGGCAAAGGGCAAGGCCTCGAAGTTGGCGCTGATCTCCTCGGCCAGGTCCAGGCACAGGTCGGCGGCGTTGCGGTGAGCCTGGCCCTCAGCATAGGCGAACGGCCGCGAGCCGAAGTTCGCCCGCACCTTGGTGTTCTGCAAAAGGATGCAGGGAAGCTCTCAGATCCTGCTCTGAGCCCACACTCTGCCCCAGGCAGGAGCTGATCACACCTCCCTGCCACCAGCATCCCCAGCTGGCACTCTGGGAAAGCTTCAAGCTGCTAAAGGCACTTTGAACTCGCCTGTTTGCCAGCTTCAAGCTGGGTGCTTTGAAGCAAGGAGTGCTAAGAGAGGAGCTCCTGGCATGGCACAAGGCATCCTGCCAGGCCTGTGCTAATGGGCAGGGAAAACCAAAATAATGACACAACCCATGCACCTGGGAGGGCTAATGAATACCTCAACCTACCCAAGAAAAGTAAAAGCTATCAATTTGCTTTTCTACAGAGCAGGTTCAGTATTTTATATTATGTTTTTTAATATTTCTGAAAGTATATTAAGTGACATACTTTTGTTACAAACTTACCTTTTTCTGAATGTGGACAACTGGCCACATTCCACCAGACACATCCTCTAGGTAGGGCACAAGTCTCTGCCCACAATATGTAAAATAAACTCTGCCCTTTGCTGGCTGGCCTGGTGGAGGGGGAGTTCCTTCTGTTCTTTCCCATCCAATTCCTGCCACATCACCTGGAGAAAAACACAATTATAAAAAGGATTTAATCAGTTTTTTCATCCAACATTTCCCTGACATTAAGAGGATTTTCTGATGGGGCATATAAGGATTTTAGCCATGCTTTCACATACCAGGGGAAAGAGTCACATCCAGTCTGACACTCTTCCACTGCAGCAGGCTGGAGCCGTTGTAATGCACTGCTCGCCCATTGCTGAGGGGCAACAAGGACACAGTGAGACAGAGCACTGAGCCAGAGCAGGATCACCACCCACCAAAGCTGTGATACTCAAAAGGCAACTCAACCCGCCAGATTTTGCAAATATTCCAGTCCATCATTTTAGCATTCAATTTAAAAGTATGTACTGCCCACTACAGCCCCCTCCCCAGTCTGCTAATAAATGTACTGAACATGGTTTTTGATGTGCATCTCCAACCTACTTATGAAAGAGGCAGGTGCCCACTGGGTTTGTCCAAGCCCCATCCCGTTTTTCAGCCTCTGTGGCAAATCCAAAGGAAACTATTGGCCCAGTGTCATCATCTGTGTCTCCATAGGAAACCACTTCGATTTCCCAGTAGAATGATGGTGCCTAGAAATAAAAATAATAACACATTTTAAAAAGTTATTTACAAAACAGAGTTTAAAGAAGCAATTTTCTTGCTTTTTCTTTTCATGCCCTGTTGGATATTCAATGACAAAGTGCTGGAAAGCTGTGAGGTCTCACCTGTACTGGCACTGGGGAGGTGGCATAGATAAAGGTGCCCCGAGGAAGGCCCCCACCTGCACTGGGATCAGCCAGGAAGGTCACAGCAGTGAGGTGTGAGGAGAACATGCAGGCTCTCACTGGGGGGAACACCCTGGATGGGCTCCACGTGATTTCTTTGGGCTGCAGACACAACAGAGCAGTTTATTCTACAATCACAATTCAAGTCACCCACTAAAATGCAACCACACAGTTTGTGAGGGGCACATTTAATACAACTCCAACAGATCACATCCCAGTACAGAAATTCGCATTAAATGAGATTTTTCAAGAAGAATGCCCTCAGTTTGGGCAGCAGCAGGGGGTTCTCCCAGGGCAGGGGGCTCAGCACTGTCCCTGTGCTCACCTGTCTCCTGTCTGCTTGCAGGGGAGGAGGAGGGGGCCGAGCACAGTCCCGGTACAACATCCGTAACCTCTCACACTGCATCTCCACAACCACCAGCCTCTCTCCTGCAACAACAACCCACACCAAGCATCAGCCTCCAGCTGCTTCCTCAAGTCCAACAGTGCAATCTTAATACAGAAATTAATATTATATTTCCACTTTGAGGAATTTTGAGAAGTCTTACTCACCTAAACAACGGAATTAAGAGTAAAATGTAATACATGAAAGTACTATCTCATGCTTGATTTACATTTGGTTTGCAAAGACACTGTTATGTTAATTAAAATGTAAAGTTCATTTTTGTGAGCAAGTTTATGGCCCAGCAAATGAAGGAAAAAAAAAATTATGTCTACTGTCACAAAATTCAGTCCTTGCCCTTTGACACCTAAATCCCTGAAGTGAAGGCTCCTACCCTTCACTTCAGGCATTTTTCTCTGGCATGTTCCTAGAAACTTGTCCCTGAACTAAGATTTCTGCTGGGCCCAGTGCCTATCCCCAAAGGAGCACTCAAGGATCAGGAATATAACAAAGCATTGCAAAAACCAGCAAAAAGGTCATCAAAAGAAAACAAATTATAACATCAAGGAATACAAATAGAAGGAATCAAGGAATAAGTTATGCTGGAAGCAAGGGAACTGGAGAGTGCAGAAGAAAACCAGGACTTGCTTCTTTGATATACAGAATAATCCTGTTCTGGCCTAAATTAATGCCTAATGTTTAATGATTTAGGCTGATTATTTGCTGCTCTTCCATCAGCAGCTCTGCAGCTGTGACAAGACACTCTGTCCTGTGCCAGTTCCTAAACTCTGAGTAGCTGGAGGAGAAAACACTGAAATTATTTTAAAAGCTGCTCTGTTTCTGACCTGAATATGCCAAGAAGGTGTTGGCTACATACCAGGGCTGCACTCCTGGGCCACCAAATTCAGAACTTCTACAGCAGCTGGGCACTGTTGAATGAATTCTTCACAGAATGAGCTGTCTTCCAACAGCTGAGCCATCACCAGGCATGCTCTGAACAGAAAAACAATATGTTTACAGTGTTAAAAAGTGTGTGCTGGATTCAAAGCTGGCATTACAGAAGTGAGTTCAAGAGTGGTTTACTGGTGGTCTTAGCCCTGGTTTTAGCTGGACCCCCTCCCCCCAAAGGCAGCTTTTCCCTGATTCATAAAAGGATTTATTGAAGCATTTGCTCAGTGTGTTGCAGGGGCACTGATGAACAACACCCAGACACTAAAAGGGAGCAAAGAGGAATTTGTGCAGTCCCTTGCTGCACACCCCCAGAGGAAGGGCACAAGGACTCATGGGATGTTTGTGCACAAAGCCAGGACTCACCTGGTTCTTATTTCAGCAAGGAGCCGGACCACTGCCATTACTGGGGTTGAGCCATCTCCTGTTGCAGGAAGTGAGGTGTGAATAGAGAGACTTCCCTCCTGAGGGAGCAACATGGACTGGACTGCCTGTACTACCTTCTCAGTAATGGACAGTTTATGAAGAGGCAATGCCTGATGGTGGGGGGGCACGGTAAAAAGTTAAATTCAAGTAGTTAGTTTCTAAGAAATGAGGGTGTTTTATTACCTGGAGTTAATTCTTATATTTTACTATCACAAAATCAGCACCAAACACCAAAAAAAAGAAAAATAAACAAACCCCAAACCAAGCCAGAAATTAAACATAAAAACCTCCCACCCAGTATGCAACAGGATATATTTAAGCACAAAAGATGAATATTATGTTACTTGAATGAGAACTTAAACATATTGTTAATATATGCTTTAAAAATAAGGCAAACATTACAAATCATTTATAAGCAAAGATGAAACACTTTTTTTTACGTGCTGTAGATTAATAGTCAGTATGCTGTGACAGAAATAAAGCAAGAATCGAGATTATACAGAATATTGGATGTTTAAAACTCCCATACCTCAGATCTTGGAACACAGAGCCTAGATAATGGAATAGTTAAAGTGTCTGATGCCTGGGAGGTCTTTCTAGTGTCTATAGTGGTGGGTGGGAATTTGACCGTGGCTATACCTTCTTGCTCATTAATAGATGCCACAACTCCAATGCTTCCTGCTATTCCTTTGCCTAAAACCTACAACCAAAGAAGAGCTGCATGAGATTGAAGGTGCTACAACCAGGAATCAGTGTCTGACATCACACACCAACTGCACACACAAGCACAGGGGGGTGTTTTAGGAAACAAGCTCCACAAGCTGCTGCTCCACAAGCACATCCTGCTGCCAAGGATCCCAGTGCAGGGAAAACCTCAGGAGAGCAGCAATTCTCATCTGAGATATCAAATATGAACAGTGATGAATTACCTGAACTTCAGAACCTATTTTAATTGTCTCCTTAAAGCCACCCAGAGCACACAGGGCAGCCACTGCCTGGCGAGCAATCCTTTGAAGTTTAGCCAGTTTCCTTCCACTGCTACTCCCATTCTCCAAAATGCTCTCTGCATATTTCCCAAGCTGTGGGATGTACATCAGAGCCCGAGACAGAACCTGAATACAGAAGCAAAAATACCAGGGAACGACTTCAAAGAATAATTCCAACAAAAACCAATGCCCCAGGCTTCCAGCCCACACAGTCTCAGAAGAATAATTTTTGTTCTTGAAGAGAATTATGTAACTCAGAATATTCCAAGTTCTCTGAAGTGTGAGCACCATCAAAGCCATGACCATTCCCTGGTAACTTTTAGGATAAAATACAATCTTGGCAAAAGTTTTTGCTGAGGTTTTCACCTAAGGAATAGATTAGGTGCTGCAGGATTCAGAGGAACATAAAACCAATGTGTTTTGTTCTAGCCAACACTATGTACCCTCAGAAGCCACAGCCAAGGCAGAATAACCTGCCACAGGCAAGGGAACTCCCCAGCAAACAGCATTGTTAATGCCTGAAAAGAATCAGACAAAAAATTATCTAATGATGGGCAAATTTTGAGTATTTGTCCCATCCTGAGACAGCTGAGAAAGGGCTGGGTCTGTCCAGCTCCACACCCTGGTGTGTAAATCAGAAAGGAGCAGCTCAGGCCTCGCTAATCATCAGATTCTCTAACTACTCAACCCCCAGTGAGGAATGTGCCACTCATGGTTGTGTTTGCTCACCTTTTCAGCAGTTGTTGTCCAGATCTGGGCTGCATTGGACTCTGGGGCCATGAGCAGGCTGTGCAGCAGGGCAATCACCTCTGCTGCCATGCTGTTTGCAACGTGCCCGCTGATGAACGGCCTCACCGGATCCGTCCTGGGCGGGAGACAAAGGCAATTTGACCACTCAGTTCAAAACCACAGAATGAAAAGAAGCTTCAGTTGTCAACAAGATATATAGAAAAAAAGAAATAGGAAGTTTATGAACAGCCAGATTATCTTTGAAAGCATTGCAAGTATTGGTAGAGAGAACAGCAGAATGCAGACAAAGGGATTTACCTGGCGAGCTCTGAATTCCTCTCTCTGCAAATAGAAGTTTGTGCAGTCTTCTTTTTGTCCCCAGTGGACAAGCCACTGGTGCTCTCTGGATTGACAGTCTCTATGGGTGGCCCCACACTCACTATCAGCCCAGATTGTGCCCACTTGGTTGCCTTTCTAAGAGCTGCAGCAGCTTCTTCTGTAATGACTTCACAGCAGCCACTCTGCGAAGGAAATTGCCGTGGAAAGCAAATGTCAGATCTGTTTGGTCACTCTGTTCATGTAGAAGTGCTGAGAACACAGCAAAACCCCCTCCTGGGTGTGTGTTAGTCATAGACAAATTTTGCCTCTTGCTTTTTATCATCTTCAGAGAGATCAGGGATAAATTCACTGCCTTTAACATCCCATTCTTAATTTACCACTTCAATTTCTCTGATCAAAAAGCCACCAATGAGTATTTCTGGTGCAAACACTCAAGAACATGTCTGGAAATAGACATTAAATTCTAATTCAAGTGTATGGCATTATCAATGTGCATTTAACACTTGAGGAAAGAATATCAAAGGGGCTTAAACCTGACCTACAATGGCTGCAAGAAGCATCAGCTGAAATTCTTTTTCATCATTTACCCTTGTAGCTGATCTGTATTTACAGAGGTAAATGATGAATAAAACAACATTTAACAAAGGCATCTTAACATCAGTAAAACCCAAGAATTCTGCCTGGCCACCAATTTTTAGGATGTTGAGCAATTCTTTAGTTATTTCTCCTCTTACTTTTGTCATGTCCCGATCCATCTTCACCACCTTCTCCATGTTGGCTCCAGTTCCCAGTCGGAATGGGCGACCTTCTGAGCTACTGTTGGAGCAGAAACAAAACACAGGAGCTTTGTTCTGACTGCTGAAAAACACAGCTGAGCTACACAGGCCAATTCCATACATTATGGCTGGTTTGAAATTATTTGAAGCCACCCTTGCAGCTGAATGCTCAACAGCAAGAGAAATATTAGGCAATTAGGGACATACCCCATTTACAGAGGGAGTTTAATCCTACTGCACACAGTTACTCAAAGCAATTTAACCCTTCCCCCTCAGGAAGAAGCCTCATGAAATGGTTTTTATTGATCACAAATGCCCAGGGCTCCGAGTTCACCTTTCACTTGTACCTTTTAGTGTAATTTTTAGAGTATAGGCTCAAAAATCAACCAACAGAGTGGGGGAAGATGGAACAAATAACACAAAATGCAGGAGGTGACAGCACTGGCATTCAGTGATCCCAGAATTCAGGTGGGTGCTGAGAATACTAAAGAATGTTTAATAGCAAATTACTGTCCAGCTTATGCATTATTAAAGCAGTGCTTTTAAAGCCATTTTGCCTTGACAGTTCTATTTGTTAGTCCTACCCAGCCTGTCGCACCATAAACAAGATAAATGATACTCCATCAGAAACACTGAGTCTAAGTAGCTAATTTTTCATGAGATTGTTTTCAGACAGATGAAGATGTTCCCATGTTCCTCTGCATTATCTTATAGCTTTGCCAGTAAACACAACACATTGGGCAGACATCTTATATCTAGGATGTATTTTTCTGCAGCCACAGCACTGGGAAAAAAGAGAAGATAAAGGGAATTGGCAGAAGTGATTCCAATCCAGCGAGCTGAGATTACCTTAGTAAAGGCTGAAGGACTTCATGGGAGGATTGATCTTCTCTTTTATGGATAAAAATAGAAAGTTTACCATCCACTGCCTCACTTTCTTCTCCAGGATCTTTATCACCTTTTATGGAATTTTTAGGGCTGGCTTTTGCCAAGGTAGTATCTGGCTCAGAGGCAGTTGGAGAAAGGACTGTCTGGCATCCTTGGAGCAGAAAGGAAAAGGAAAAGAAAGAAACACAACCATGAATTTTCTTACCCTTGGAAGTAATGCTGACACATCTGGGATGTGTCTTAAACATCACTGAGACACCCACTTTGGTCTGAGGCCAGGGAAACTGGGAAATTAGGAGGCAGATGGAAAGTCACAGGAATATCCTGCTCTCGGTGACAAATCAGATACCTCCCAACACTTCAGCTCTCTGTCAATACAGAAGCTTCTGGCACAGAGTGCCCAGAGAAGCTGTGGCTGCCCCTGGATGCCTGGAAGTGCCCAAGGGCCAGGTTGGATGGGGCTTGGAGCAACCTGGACTAGCTGAAGGTGTGAAAAGGGGTGGGACTGGATGGGCTTTAAGGTCCTTTTCATTCCAAGACTCCATGAAACAGGAGTCCCTCGGGCACAACGCCAAACAGCTGCTGGTACCTGGCACGACATAATCTGCCAGCTTTGCCAGCAGCAGGGAGGCAATCTTGGAGGCTGGGTCACTGGGATCATCCTGCTCGCTGTTCAGAGAGGGCACTGAGTAACTCCAGGGAGGCAATTCCACATTTCCACAGTCCTCAACGCTCATGAGAGGCAGAGCAGCACGACACAACTGCAGGATTATAAGGACCAGCTTTGGAGAAGGACGCTGATCCAAGAGAAGGGACAGCAGCTTGGACACACAGGCTGGCTGGCTCAGGATGGCTTTACCTATGTGACTCCTGAAAGGGAAAAGAATCTTGAAATTAAAACCAAGTTCATTTATTATTTACAAGATGTATTAAAAGCAATTTCAGTGTCTGACAAAACATCTGTAGCACTTCTTCCATAACCTGACAGCACTGATTAAACACTAAGATTACAGGTCAGTTTTAGAATGGTTTTAAAAAAATCCACAAAAGATCCCACATGGGCTTTGATACACAAGAAAATACTTCAGAGGAAAGGCCTGCTACCTTGAGAGGTCATTCAGAAGGCTGAGGACATCCTGCAGTGCATCATTCCCTGCAGCTTGGTTGCCACAGCACTCAGTGGCTCTGGCCAGGTGGTTGGTGAGGAGACTGGAGACCTGCCTGGCCAGCCCAGAGTGAACGGCATCTGTGGAACCCCCTTTGGAAGAAATGGAAGAATGCACAGCTGTAATCAACAAAAATCAATGTACACACCACAAAAATAACCCCTGACACATCCACCATTAGCCAACAGCCAGATGTCTGTGGGTTTAAGTGTGTTATGGGTGAACTCTACCACAGGAGAAATGCCAAATGATCACTCAGAATCTCCAGATTCTCCCATTATGTTTAGACAGAATCAAATGGCAAAACCTGAAATTATTTCCATGGGGAGGAAAAAAGCCAGAATTTAAAACCAAGAAGAAAATCCACTGAATTTTGTTTTCACTTCTTAAGAGTCCACAGAGTCCCAAGCCATGGTGAATGACTGCCCTATTTGAAATACATTTACACCACTTCTAAGACAGTTCTAACACAGAGAGCAGAAGATATTTCCAGTGCTCCTACCTTCTTCCTTTTCCCACTCCACACAGCGGTTGGCCAGCACCTGGAAGGCAGCCCAAGCCATGGTGGCCACCTTTTGTTTCTTGGTCTGTTTTTCATTTGAGCTGGACTCTGTCTGGCTGCTCAGGCTGCAGAGCCGGTCCATGAGCTGGACCAGGCCACTGCGCACCAGACACTTCTCCTCACTCCTGCAGGAGAAATTCAGAGTGAAATTAACTTCTCCATCACAATGGGAATCCAGAACTTGCTGTTAGCTCAGTAATTAATTAGTTCAATTGGCAAAAAGATGGTTCTGCCTCTCCCTTGTCCTCCCCAGATGGAACTGTGAGAGAATTTAACTGGATGTTCTCAGATGCTCCTCATGATGAGTAAAGGGGATGTATTTAAACTACTTAACACTGCTCCTTAAAGCAGAGCCTACTAAAGCCAGGTGTGGATGCCCCCCTTGCCTTCCTCACCTTGTGTAGGGAATGGTGCACAAGAGGCCAATGCTGTTGGCACAGGCGATGGGGTACCGGGCACACAGGGACACCACCGACGTCATCGTCTCCCCAAAAGCCTCCTGCACCTGCTCCACCATCCCACCACACGTCAGCTCTTCAATCCTGTTGGGGGTTAGAGATTGGAAATGGAAGGCTTCAATCCACAAACTTCCACATGTAGCTTTAAGAAAATAATAATCAGTGCATGTTAAGAATTACTCAAGAGAGACTTGGAAGGAAAACTCTAAGTTACTCATTTTTTCATATGAAACATGTGAACAACAAAGCGTGGTAGTTATAACGCAGTCATGATTAAATCTCACTACAAACAAAATACAAAACATTAACTACATGTAGATGGCAGCATCAGCTGAATCTACCACTAATACCTAATTAACATAAATTTAGAATTAAATCAAGAGAGAGGGATACCCTCTACACACAACTGGGTACATGTCAGCCCAGTATGAAAGGAAAGATAAATAAAAGCATTTCTTAGAAGTTTCTGCCTTTGCATCCCAGAAGAGTCAAAGTGTTTGTTCCAACCTTAGCCCTGCCAACTTGTGCCCTCACAGCTACTCACTTCTGGCTTTCTGTCGTGCAAAGCAATTTATTCCCAAGCCACTGAATTCTGGAGAAATGCACCCACCTTGGCCCTCCCTGGAGCACCATGGTGACTGGGCCCACCAGGTGGGTCACGCCTCCGACACGCACGGCGGCCGTCAGCAGCTCCCTCATGTGCACCAGGGCCTGTTTCCTGGTGTTGCCACGTCTCCAGCGGGTCTGGGCAGCCAGCAGGAAACTGCTGCTGGACACCTGCGAGGTTTGGGAGGGGATTTTTGTTAGACACAAACAAGGCACCTCTTGGTTTTGAGCAAGTTGGAATTTGAAATAAAATAACAACGTACAGCTTGGTCAGGGTTTGTCCCAATGAAGGCAAAGAGCTGTCCCAGCAGGACACTGTAGGTGGGCTTGTCCCTGCTGTCCTCGATGGCCAGGGACTGCAGCAGGGTGAAGGAGCTGCTCCTGTGGCTGGTGACGTGCCGACGCCTGCGAGGGAACCGGAATGTTACAGCCGGCAGCAGGAAGCTGATCCAACCACCACCAATGTTGCTTTGCAGTGATAAATTTGATCAAGATGATCATTGGGACAGCACAGAGGTGTGAAGGGAAGGAATAAACCCTGCTGTACCTCTGGCTGGCCCGGGCAAACTCAATGTCCTCGTTGCCAATCATCTCCAGGTCGGACGGGGCGGACATGCTGCGCAGGAACACGGGCTGGCGCACGGCGTGGGAGATCACCTTGGTCTCAGAGGCTGATTTACAGGCTGAAGTATTATAAAATAGTAATAGAAAAGGTCATTCCTGGTGCAGGAAATTATTTATAAATTGGGTCTAACATCACTGGTGGATATCCCAGTGGAAGCTGAAACACAGGGTGGGGAAAATCCAGTCTAAGCAAGAACGTGCAACTCAGATCTGAGAATTTTCCTGTTTTCAATTGGACTTTATTTATTATAACAGAGTAATTTAGTTTAGGGGGGAAAACAGTTTAATTTAAAGCAAAAGAGGTAAAAATAAGAAATAAAAGGTATCTTTAGAAAATGCTGTTAATGAGAGACATACCTGGAGTCTCTGCAGGGGTCCCAGATATGCTCCTTGTGATCCCAGACTGTGCTGCAATAGTCACATGCAACAACAGCTCTGCTCTGTTCATCAAGCTCTTCACCAAGGCTTTTGTCTTTGCTAAGGGATGAGAGGTCTTCTGGATCAGTGAATTCACCTCCTGGAAAAACTTCTCCCTAGTTATGAAAGGGAAGGAAAAGAAGCCAAGTCAATGTTTGAATGCTTTCAGAAAGGAAGTGTTACTGAGGGAAAAGTCAGCTAAAGAGGACTTATGGCCTCAGTCTGTTCTATGCCAACAAAGGAGAAAGCAGAAAAAATGGGAGAAATAAACAAGTGATTCCTTAGCAAACACAAGGAGCTGTAGGTAGTAACATTAATATATTTAGCACAGAAGTTTCTAATAATTTCATCAGATCCTTTTGGAACTCCATGGAATTCCCCTGAAGCTGCCCCTCCTTTGAGGCCTAAAACTTCACTAATACTGACCTTAATGCCAGGACCACGTTCTCAAGATCACTCCCATCAAAAGAAACTTCCTTCATTGAACACAGAAGCTCCAGCTCCTTCATCTTGCTCTAAACAAAGGGAAGGAGAAGGATGAGAAGGTTTTGAGGAAGCAGAGTGAGGCACAAGCACCCACAGCAGCTCCAGGGCTCACCTCGTTGAAGTGATAATCATAAAAAAAGGGGACATTGTTCTCCAGCTTCCCATGCATGGCATCATCCACCTCGTTCTGCCACTTCTGCTCCAGCTCAGCCACACTCTAATAAAGAGACAAAAATCACACTTGTTGCACTTAAGATGCAGAAGGGATTTTAGAAGATAAAATCTGAGTACATTTTATATTTCTGTGGTGCTAAAATACATCTTTACTCCTAAAACAACCCTTCTTTGTTTTAAATAATTTTCTTTTTACCTGTAGTTGTCTCTCCATGGCATTCAGCTTCTTAAAGGTCTCTCCCATTATTTTACAAAGTAAATCATATTCCTCAGCATGTTCCTCCTGATACTGGAAATTTATCAGGGACTGGAGAGCATCAACCAAATTGAGATGTTTAATCACACATGAAACCACCATCTCCTCCATGACTTCTGGCTGGATCACTTCCCTAGAGTTCCAGGGAAAGCCAAACTCATTAATCAGGAGTAAGAGACCAACTTGAACAATTCATATTCATAAATCATCAGATGCTGCATTCACAAACAAGGTTAAAAACCCAGAGGGAAACAAGGACTCCTTACTTTATACTGGGTCTAAATTGAGGCCGAGCACGTCCAGAAATTTCCCTGAGCTTGATCATAATTCCTGGGGGCAGCCTAATCCTGGGCAGGTCAAAGTAGTGTCCAACAGGAGGCACAAGCACATCAGAGGGATATGTGAATTCCCTGTCCTCCTCTATGGTGAGAGGCAATGGAGAAGGGCTTGGAGTAAGGGCTGGAGATATGACCCCATTGGCTTCCACCTGCCACTGGCACCTGCAAAAAGGAGTAAAAACCAATTAAAAGGATTTTTTCTCCCTCTCTATTTCACCCCTCATTGAGAAAGACACTTCAGTAAACACATTACAAAGATTAAATGCCAATATTTGAAGTGTGGCTTGTACCAAGCATAACCCAATCCTCCTTTTACTCTAAAAGCCCCTACGTTTTGGAGAATATTCCCTCAGTTTTAGGCAACAAAAACTGCTGAACAAACTACAGGAAAAATGATCCAAACATCACCTTAAAGCACAAGACTTGAACACAAGAAGTCACTTCCCTCAGAAAAAAAACAGATTAAATTTGATTTTTTATTTTTTTTTACCTTTGTAAAAGTTTAGATCTTAAGAGCTCTTGACATGTTTCTTCATCTTTGGTAATTTCTGGCCCATTGTACAAAATCCTCAGCATGGAACAGGCCAGCACAGAGAGGCCCAGGGCCAGGTCAACCAGGAATGGCAAACCTCCTGACACATCCTCTGAGGATTCCTGCAGCAGGAACAGGGAGAAGTTCAAGCAATCCACCAGGAAGTCCTTTCCAATAAATTGGAGATTTCCAAAAGATAGGAGATTTTATATATAATCTTCTAAATGTAAGATATAGCTCAATAGCAGTCTTAACTCTTACACAAAAAATGCTTAACAATTAACAGCAACTTTTAAGAACAACTCAAGACAAGTAGTAAGGGATTTAACCATTATTTTCCTGAACTAAGAAGGAACAGGTGAAGTTATTTTTGGTTCAGTCATCCCAACTTGTAGCGGGATTCAAAATTCCCCGTGTCTGATCCCAGAATCCCTCCCCTCTCTCCATGGGCTGGAATAATTATTTCCTCAGGACTTCTCTGATTTTCAGGTTGCTACAAAGAAATCCTGACCCACAAGCAGCAAGAGATGCTGAAATGGCCTCAGGAGATAGGTAAGACATATTTGATAAAAACTGTCTCCATGAATGCCAGCCCATCCACATGGATCTCTGCATCCCAAACTCAGGTTCCTTCCATTGCCAATTTATCTCACTGCCCAAACCAGTCACTGCTGGTTTCCATCTCAAACTGCCAAGCTGGAAGCACATTTCCATGGGTCTGGAATGTGTTTTGGCAGGCAGGAGGCAGTGGAAGCTGAAGCTCTCCCCGGGATTCTCCCCCTGGAATACCTGGGCTCGGACAGTGCAGGCAAAGCCCCACATGGCTTTGTCAGGAGTGTTGTGCTCACGCCCACTGCGCATCTCAAAGGAGAAGGTGACCGTGTCTCCTTCCACCTTCACACATCCATGGCAGGAAGGGGGGGGGGAAAAAGAAAAGAGATTTAATGGTTGAGGCAAACAAACAGGTTTTTCACACAAGTGGTGATAACTTTTAACGACAGTTATCTGAGGGTTGCTCTTATCTCAAACGAAATATTCTGATTTAATTTTTTTTTTAATTTTTGTAAAGGTGTCTTTTAGTGGCAAACTTAATTTTGCTGCTGGATGACTACAGTAAAACAAAAACAACCACCATAGCTGTAAAATCAAAAGCAGAAATTATCAGTGTGTTACTTAGCCTTGATTTTCACTGTTTGTCTGCAAGAAACCAGGCAATAATTAACAATTCTTTTCCTGAAGGAAGACAGACAAGCTCTTCAATTAGAAAAATGACAACACATTAATCAAGGAGCTTGCTAAAAGAACAGCATCAAAACCTATGTGTGAAAAATAAACCAAATTCCCTTAATTGTGAACAATGGAGTTCTTGTCTGAAATTGCTTTCCAGATTATTACCTCTTGATTTCTTTTTACAATGTATTTTTGTTATGTAAATAAGCCCAGTTTTAGCGTGGGACAATGTAGCAGCACAAATATATATATTAAACAAAAATAAAATCACACTGCAGAGTGTGAGGGGACACAATACCAAAGCACCAAAATGCTGAGGTTTCAAAAAGTTTGAGAGATTCTTCTCAGCTTTACTGCCAAAAGCAACAATGAAATTTTAAAATCCAAAAGAAATGGTTAGATTTTGTTACATTTGCTACTTGATATATTTGGGGAGTTATTTTCCAAAAAACTGACTTTAGGAGAATCTGCCTAGAACTTCTCCGAGGAGGGTGTACTTAGGAGAAGAGCAGTGCCATTAGAGACTGCAGGACTCAAACATCTCCATCAGGAATTCCAGGAAGACACAAAACAAACTCCAAGGGAAGCATCACATGGAACACAGAGCTGAGTTTAAAGTTCTCCCCCAAGGACACAACAGTTCACTGAGCAGGGATCTCATCATGGATAACTGTACACTTAAAAGCTTGGAATGCATAGCTATGAGGGTAAAATGGGCTGGGCATGGTTTCCAAAGGGAATTTTCTATGGGAAAGAGAGGTGGATGGGAATACTGTACCTTGACTAAGTCCTTGGGCCACCCCGTTCCTAAGACACTACGGCTGCCATATCCCAGTGTATTGCCTCCATACTCAGCAACCTTCCTACTGTTTGTGCTAGGACCAGCATAGATCACCAACTTCAAAACATAAAATACACTGTTAGACTGTAAGAGAAAAACAAGAAAACCTAATAATAATAATAATACTTAGCACTTCCACCGCGCTTTCAACTCTCGAAGCGCTCCATGCACGTGAACCAATCCTCACAGGCTCGGTGAGGGCAGCAGGGTTAAGTATTATTATCCCCATTTTACAGATGGGGAAACTGAGGCACACGGGGACTCAAGGGGCTTGGTCCCTGCCCACACAGCAAGGCTGGGAGCAGAGCAGGAGCAATCCTGACTGCCAGCCCTGAGGCAGAGAACAAACTCCTTCCCTAGCAGTGAGGGGCTGATTCTGCTCCCACCAAAGCCAAAGTTTTGTCAGTGACTTTGGTGGAATCAGAGTTGTTTGGGGAGTTCAATATTAACGTCACCAATTAAAGATACGCCCATTAGTTATTTATGAGCATCAGGACTTGCTCTATGCCAAAGCATAAACAGCAGCAATCAGCACAAGAAGCTAATACAAAGTGGATAAATGCTATTGGTTGTTTCCTTAAAATTAATATATTTGTTCCTATTAACCCAGATAAACAAGCTCTATCATCAGGGAAAAAGGAACCTCTCCAGCTCTGCCCAGTTTAAACCAACTGTGCTGATCAAAGCAGGCAGCTGGATTAAAATTTGGGAAATAAAGGAAAACTGAACATGAGTAAAAATGAGATAAGTCAATCTTGGACTGGAATTGAGCCAGCCTGAAACTTTCTTTAACAAAAACAGAAGTGATAGAATTTCTGAAGGGAAAAACCAACTGAAACCACCCCTCAAACCCCCAATCCCTGGAGCTTCCCACACTTGTCCCATGGCACAACTCCCACTTTTTTGCAGGGAATTCCCACATTGCAGAGGTGCTAGGCTGGCCCTTGCTTACCTTGTCATAATCGTACTGGGAGGAGCATCTGTTGTCAAATCTAAGATACAAACAGCGGGCTCCTGGAATGTGGACAGTTTCCTTAAATTTATAGTTATCCCTGACAGGATGCACTGTCTCCACAGTCTTCCCAGCAGCCCAGGGAGCAGGGATCTTCAAACCAGTCAGGAATCCTGGCTCTTCCTTCTCTTCCAGCATCCTGAAAATAGAATGAGAAACTGGGCCTAAAGCACAGCACAGAGATTTCTGTCTTTCAATAAATTACTTAAAAATCACCTCAGTATTGACACACAGAAAAAAGGAGCTGACTCTTGGTTTTAGACATGACTGTATTGAGGAAATTCATGTATTACAAATACTATCATCATTATTTGTACATTACATATACTCTTATTCACAAAAAAATCCCATTATCACAAATTCTTTAGTATTTTAAATTCTCCAATGCTGCAAATAAGCATTTTTATTTTATTTTGGCTGTTTGCTTCTATTCCTAAGCAGGAGCTGGAAAACTTTGAGCTGAGACACAGCATTTAAATGCAGGAGTTAAAAATGTTATTTCTCTGTAAATTAAACCATTTAATAGCTTTGCAATGGTTTTAATTCTGTATCTCATGCTGCCAGAGCAATTTACATTTTCTCTTGATGGTCCTCCTTAGCCTAATTTATTGTGAGAGGAACATTGAGATTTAATTTCTAATGCTTGAGGTGCGGAAAAAAAACAAAAACAAACCATATTCTGTGTAAACAACCTGAAGTTATTAATAGTTTACTTCTGTATACAGAACAAAATTTGGAACTAACTGCCTTTTGCAAAAGCTTATATAAATCTGAGACAGCCTTAGAAATCATTCCAGCACACCTTTAAAAATTAATTCAAATTAAAACTGCTGCTTTATCCCACAGCAATGGTCAAATAGACATTACAGTTCAGTTTATCCCATGAAAAGACCCAAATGTAAAGAAAATCACCTCTCATCAGGTAACTGCTTCCCTTTCTGCTCTGGAGCACAACTGGGGGAACTGTTCAGTTCTGAGAAAACTGGAGACTGGGTTTTAAGCAGCAGTGCAGTCTGTGGCCCAAAATACACAGTGTTAGGGACATGCAAAGTGTAAAGCATTTTAAGAGCTCATTATTGAAATAATTAACAATCCTACTGTTGTTACTGACAATAAATCATGACTGAGTAGCTCCTGGAGCAGTCAAATTTAACATTCAGCATCAGCAGCTTTGGCAGCTGTTGAGAAGCTCTGAACTCTGGTGTGTGGAAGAGCCTCTGGAGGAAGCTGAGCAGCATTTTGGAGGCTGCAGGCCCCAGGTTTGGCCCTGGGCAGCCCAGGGTGGCACAGAGCCCGTACCTGGCTGGTGTAAAGGACCAGCTGCACCAGCTGAGGCATCAGGGCATCAGCCATGGTCAGGGTCTGCAGGTTTGGGTGCATCAGGGATGTCAGCAGCACAGGCAGCAGGTGGCCAAGCATGGTGGCCTTCGTGATCTGCTCCAGGCCTTTTAACCTGGAAGGAGAGCCAAAGTTACAGAGGAACAACTTTTTTCATAGAGCAGCACTTCTGTTTTAGTCACTTCTGTTTCATCTTGTAACAGCAATTCAAAATTCAGCAGAGAATGTTTGTATTATATTAACAAAATCCCCAAAACAATCTTGAAAACACTATAATTTCTCTCCCAAGTGCCAGTGACCTTGAATTGCTGACAATTCTCACTGAACAATCTGAGAGCAGAGACAGTAAATCAACAGTTTAATAATTACTCAGAGAAGGATAAGCTCCCCTGGGCACAGGATGAAAGTCCCCATCAAACACAAATGCACCAGTGTGAGTATCAGCTCCCAGCACATGGAGCTCAAAGGACTTGAAAAGGATCTGCAGCTACAAAAATATATTTGAACACAAACTCGTATGAAAATATCACCCAGGAATTGTGTGTTGTCAATAAACACAAGTAATCTTGCAGACACAAAGAAGCAGAAAGTGAAACCTGGAACACAGCTGGGACAGGGAGCTGTTTGCTTGAGCAAAGAAAAGTTCACAGATTTTGTTTCCACCCCATTCCCAACGTGCATTTATAAGAAAGAGGAGGGGAGACAGGGAAGGGCAGATGATGGAAAATGGGGGATATAAAACAACACCCAGGGACTGTCATGCATAAATATCTAATCCAGCTACTAGGGATGTAATGATCAGGAATTTAAAAATAAACAGATTGTTCTAGCTTACAGGAGTATTCCCAGCTAATTACAGTTAATTTCAAGGTATCCTACTCATAAATACCATTATGACTGAAGTAAAAACTTCTCAATTTGAGGTTCCTACAGAAGTATCAACCTACAGATGATCAGGACTGACATAGAGAGTCATTCTAAATTCTCCACCTGCTGAGCATTAAACAACTGCTACAGGAAGAAACAGCTCCTGTGCATTCAAAGCTCAAATATGAAGTGATAAAGAATAATTAATGCTAACTGTGCTTGAACAATAAGCCACAAGGAGCAGCAGTTCCCTGTTTCCAAATTAGGATCCTCCCACTTATCTTACCTTTGCTCCCTGTCAGAAATGTCACTGTTAATTAGTGCTGTAGTGACTTGTTGCAGCATTTCTAAGACTTCATCACATCCTGTCAGAATTTGTGTGGCAAGAGACAAAATGCTGGTCTTGAGCTCCTAAGTAAAAAAAAAAAAAAGAGTTACAGGATACTTAAATTCTTAGAGAATTCCCCCCAAAAAAGGACAACAGAACAAAAAAGATGGATTTCCAAATGAAAAGAATGATAATGTGACCTGGCAGGCCTGCAGCAGGAGATTCATCCAAGACTTAAATTTGATTAATGTTAAGCCCCAAAGTGCTGGGAGAAACTAGGTGCATGTTTTACAGGATGCACATCCAGTTTCTGGAGGGAAGGAAGCCCCAAGTCCAGCACAGGAGAGAGCTGAGAGCCAGCCAAGGTACAGGACTGGTGACACAATGTCCTAGCAGGGATGAGGAGCACTGCAGAGAGAGAAACTGAACAATGAACACGGCGTGAATAGTGAGACAAGAAAAATACTCCAATATTTAGCATTTACTCAATGAGCCTGAACAAATCACTTCCAACTGCAGCAGCTCACAAACACACACAGCCCCCAAGAGCAGCAGAGAAAACTGGCTTAGCAAAATACCAGAAATTCAGAAATCACTTCCATTAGGGAAGAATTACTACCAAAACTACTCTGAGTAGACAACCTCCAGGGCAAACCTGGGAGCTGGATGAAGCAGTATGAAATACAGCATTTTAATAAACTTCTACCAACCAAAGCCTGCCCTCAAACCCTGTCCTCTTACAGCTTCCTTGCCACAAACTTTTATCCCCTCTATTTCAGACAACTGATGGAGGTGGTTCTGCACAAGCTTTGTTTGTTTAAACTGCAAAAATGCAATAGCCAGGGGTAAGGCAAATAAGAAACTCCTTTTCTATTTATTTAATAATATTTTTTTCAAGGATCACCTGAGTGATTTGGAGAGGAAAAGGTGTAGGGGTAATGTGTCCAGGAAAGGAAATTCCCATACCATGAATTCTACTAGCACATACCAATTAAAATCTATTTAAAATCTCATTATACATATATTTAGGAAGGGAAGTCTCTGCTCTCACTGACAATAGGGAATACAAGCTGGAATCCTGAACATAGAATAGCTGCAGATTTTACTCTGGACTGTTTTTCCCTGTTCCCCAGCTATTTAACTCTATCAAAAGGAAAAGAACCACCAGCAAACAACAAATGCACTGCAGGAACAAGGTGTCACAGGCACACTGACTGGAGAGAGCCATACTAGAATAAAACTTGGTGTTTACCTGTACCTTCAATGTCTCTCCCTGCAAGGAGCTGTCACTGTCATCATTGTCATCAGGTTTAATCAAAATAGTGTTACTGAGGAGGTGGTTCTGCACAGCCATCAGGTACCGCAAGCACGAGGACGCAGCCTTGAACACAAATAAGTAAAACTTTGCATTATCCAAACCCTTCATCAACCCTGAGTCAGGCAAGCCTCAGACTTGGAAGTTGGAGAGAAGAAAAAGGTTGAGAAGAAAACAAAGAACAAAGAAATAATTTTATGTATTTAAGAAAAGAAACCAGTTGCAAAATGCTGAATTTTGTGAAATAGTTCCCAAAACTATAAAGAGGCAGCATAACTTTGTTCAGGTTTGGAACATTATAGCAATATTCAGGAACTCTAAGAATTAATTAATTCTGAAAAGATTGTGCCACCAGAGAGATACATGTAATTCACACTCCTGAAGGTGATGGTTCCGTGCCACTCCTCCTTCCCCACAGGCCAGGACATCCTGTCCCCTCCCAGTGTTTTTATGGAAGCTCAACCTGCCTTGCTCAGGGAGCTGATCCTGCTGAAAACACCTGCCCATAGGTTTACCATCAAATGTCATTTAACTCATTCCTGTCTGTCACTGGTAAATCTTTCAGCCTGTATGAACCACAACACACAAATACATCTTTGATTTTTTTAAGCTGCTTTGAATATTGAGATCCACAAACTTCGCTTAAACTGAACAGCAACCAGAGCAACTGGAAAATAAATCCATGTATAAACCCATTCCAGCATTAGTGAACTATTTCCTTTGCTGTGAAAAATAACTCTTTTCTTCCCTGCACAGCACAAACAAAACACAATTCTTCTCCTGGATTTGTTAAGACACAGCTATAAAAGTTTCACCTCCTTGTACTCAGTGAGGAAGATGGATTCAAGGAGGAATAGAAGCCAAAGGCAGAGACACTTTTCTCAAAACACACTTTACTTACAGGCACAGTTGAAAGAAGCCTTTGAAAGTCATCTTTAGATACAGTTTGGCACTTGGTGATTAAGACACAAGATTCTCGGACAACAATCTTGAGGATGTAGTGCAAGAGCTCATCATTGAGTCTTCAAGAGAGGCAAGAAAGGCAGAAAATGTTAATCATTCATTATTGTGCATTTTGTACAGCTCAGCTCACTCTGCAAGCTGGATCCCAAATCATGGGAAACCTAAACAAGGATCAAACTTTGAATTCAGACACAAAAAAAACATCAAGGCTGAAATGTTTAGCAGCAAGTACAACAGATTTCCAGGGATTTGCTGTACTGTGCTGATGTAAATCCGTGATTTCCTATCGCTCCCATAAAAGACTCCTCCGAACTTGAACAGGTACTTGAGACAGGCAGTTTTACTGCTGGAAAGTCACCTATGATATCCAGAGAAATGCTATAAAATCATATTTATGAAATTATAATTCAAATTTACCCAAGAACATTGCAAAGAACAAAGAATTCCAAACCCAGTCTGGGTACAGAAGCATCCAAAGTTTTCCCTAATACATTAAATTTCTCCCTCACCCTAACAAAACTTTCCCCCACAGACACAAACAACATTCAGGTCACACTGCAGGAACACACCAAGCAATTCTAGCAGAAGTTCCTGCAAGTTCACCTCAAACAAGTAACACAAAAATCCCCTATAAACAGAGGCTTTTTACCTATAATGATCATCATCTTCACTTCCAAATCTATTGTTCTGCAGCTGCTCAGCTAAATTGGTCAGGATAACATCCCGGAGCTGGGAGAGGCCACTGTTCCTCTCTCCTGAAAGGGAAATAAACTTTTGCAAAGCAGCATTTTACAGAACAGATTTTATTTCCCCAATACCTCATTTAACAAAGAATAGAGCTCAGGAATGGCTGCATTCCCAGGGTGACCAGAGCTGCTGTGCCAGACTGGGAGCACTTTCCCTGCCATGGCACTGTTGGAAATTCCCAACATGCTCCTGTGAAGTAAAAAATTACTGAGTATCAGCTGCTTCCAAAGCCAGATTCCCACTTCCTGGTGAACTCAAGGGCATTATTCCCCCTTCCAGCAGGTCTAACATCACCTCTGATTGCTGGGTACTTGCAAATATTCCTTTCCTCCACCTGACCTACTCCAGACCATGCAGCCTTTTGGAGCATTCCATAATTTCCCAGAAAAGCATGGATTTAAAGCAGAATAGTGCTCCATATCCCACACTGTTCTCCATCCAAGCTTGAGATGTACTTTGATTTTTTTGTTCTCAGAAAAACCCCACTCTCACCTGGCAATAAGACATTCTCACCTTCAGTTAGGACCAATTTCAATAAATTATTGATTTCTGCTTCTCCAGGATACAGGATATTTAAACCAGAGCTAAGAAAAAAATAAAACCATGCATTACTTGATGGATTTAGAAGTGAGCAAAACCATTTCAGTGGACATGTGACAAATGGCACTACACACTCAGCATCTGATGGAACATTTACAAATGTGTGTGTAAAGGCTTAGAAGAGCATTCTCCAGATTTCAACATCAATATTAGGACATAAGCAGCTGTTTTCTCCAGGAATCTCTTGTAATCAATTATATATTATTGTTTAGTTCCTAAAGCTTCTCCAAGAGCTATTTGCTTCTCTCTGGAAAACTCCCCATTCATCATTTGCACACAGGGCAGCACAATCAGTTTGTTAAGAAACAGATGTCAGGAAAAATTATGATGGCTCAGAGAAAACCCCCAAAAACTCTGGTGATGGGGTAAGAGCTGAGGCTTCTCTGTGCTAAGAACAGTGGAAAATACAAGGAAAGGAATAACTACTGCTACAGTTTTGTACTTTTTGGAGACTGGCTCTATAGAAATAGTTTAAGCTACACAGAAGATTCTGGAAGGAACATTTCAGGAACACCTCAGCTTTACAGAAACATTCCAGGTGGAGACTTTTTCCCTCTAACTTGTGATGAACTCTGTCCTTTCTATGTGAATTCCCCCATCGAGATCACAATCACTTCAAAGGAGCACTTCATGCCTGTCTGAAGTGCTGAAATCATTATGCAACTTTGCCATTTCCTTTCCCTTTTCTTTTTCAGTAACAGAAAAGAAAACTGGGATGTTTTTCAGCTTCACACTGTGAGCAGAGATTACTGCAGCTTCCTTCCCTCTGGCTCATGCTGATCCACTCTGATAGAAACCTCAGGAAAAGTTATCACACATTGCCAGCTCCCTTTGAGGGTTCCACTGGCACCAGAATCCCCCAAGGAGGAAACAGGAGGAAGGAAACATCACCCAGTGCCCACCTTGGAGCTGTTTAACAAGGCACTGGAACACACAGGTGTTTACAAGGTATCCATGCAGGTGACAGGAGACACTCCTCCCTGTCACAAAGCACAACCCTGAAAATGCCAGGTAATCCTCCTGAGCCAAACTATTCTTCACTCAGAGTTGCACAGAGCCACAGAAATTTGGAATGTTGTGATTCACACCAAGAAAATGGAGGTTGAGATTTTGCTCTCAACCTCTGGAGCACTTCCCACTGGAAAACGCAGGTTCTGTTTGTCCTTGGCACACTGGAGCCAGCATTCCTTGGCCCTGAGGTTTCCATTATCTCCTTTTCAGGAGATACAACCACACTCCTTTTTTCCCCTGGGCCTTCAGTCTCAGAGCATTGCTCAAGTATTATTAACTCCTCCAGTACTATTAACCCTGCTTCTCCTGATGTTCCTTTTGTTCAGAACGCCAGTGTTACCACTGAGATAAGAGCTGCCAACACCAGCTGTGCCTTTCCCTGAACACCACAGCAGCTAAATAAGGAACTCATTCAAGGAAACTTTGCTTGAATTTAGCAACTATTTTATAATAAACATTAAAAAAAATAAAAAGTAAGAAAGTAATTAAAAGTAAGAAATTAATTACTACCTGTTATTTCATTAAGACCAATACTGTATTTCTCTTCTTCCAGAGACACCAACTGTAATTAATTTTATCATGTTCTGTCTTAAAATCCATCACGCTACATTTTCTCATATGAATATAAAATTAAACTATAATGTGAATGTTCATCTCTCACTACATTTCAAAGAAACTAAATTCTAAGCTGAACTTGAGAAAAGATATTCACCTAATAGCCAGACAAACTTCCTTCTGGATTTCAGAGCAGATCTGATCCCTTGGGGCCATCAGTAACTGCCACAGTAACAGCCCAGACCTTCTGACAATGTCTCTGTTCCTTTCAGTTTGGGGGCTGAAGAAAAATTTAAAAACCACCTAGGAAAAATTAAAAGACAAAAATATTAATATAAACATATAGACATTACTTACATTAACTTGTTTTCTGCAGTCAATTTCTCAAACTATTTGTGTGGGTCTAGAAACCTGAGAGTCAGAATTTGATTTTGAATCAAAAAATGGAGAAGGGAGAATACAAAGAAAGAAGGATATAACCTCCCTGTGTTTTATTTTAATTGAAAGAGATTTTTCAATTAGGACTCTTAAATTAAACCAAGTTTTTCATTTTTCCATGCGAATTTGGAAGCCCATTTAGGGTTCTGTACCTGGAAGACAACAAGGATGCAGCGGATGATGCAGGTGTCTCCATTGACCATGGCCTTTTCCATAATGTCACAGATGCTGCTCAGGTGATGGGCTTCAATGGGATGCTGCTTGCCCAAAAAATTGCTGATGGGGAGGTTGTTGCTGGCCGCCAGAAGGTTGAGTTGGTGAATGCACATGGCACCAACATGGTGCAGTAACTGGTTAATGACCTCATTTGTGGTTGTTGCATCCCCTGCAAGGAGAAGAGAGTTCAAATGCTGTCTGTAGACACAGACTGGATTATCAGCCTTTGCTTCTAACATGCAATAAATCAACTTCAGGGCATAAAAGCATTACCCAAACCACCTTTTTATTGTGCTGAAGGCAGCAAGAATCTGCAATCTTCCCCATATCTCACTTTGTACTTTTGCCTCTCTTAAATGAAAGCTAAACCATGACCAATATTTACAACTATTCTCAAGAATTATGTCAGCTTTTAACAGCAAGGCAGTTTCTGTCTGTTCTCTGCCACTCCTCTGTTTCACTCCCCCTTTGTACAAAGTGCTGACTCGTGGGCTCCCCTCACCTTTGGGCTCTGTGATGATGTGACTCACTCCTAGCCTCTGGCACACACAGTGGAATGCCTGGTTCCCAGGATTGCACCACTGATCAATATAATCATTGGAGCACGTCCAGATCATGTTATTCATTGTATCATAACAGGCACCTGAGAGAAGGAAAATATTTCACACATCAATTTAGTAGAAAACCAGACTGAAGCATCTTTATAGGCATCATAAATCCAAACTATTTGCTTTAAAAGTTTATTTAAACCACGGGCATGCAACCCCACCCCACTGCAGAGTTGCTGACTGCAAATTCAAACCCACGTGGATCATTTAGGATGTGAGGGACTGCTATATTCCTTACCAAGCCCTGGCACCAGAGCCCCCCGTCCGAGCGAGCTGCCCGCAGCATCGATGAGATCTGCCCTGCTGGTGAACTGCCCATCCGAGATGTTGAACACCAGGCTGGAGGCAAGAACTACACACAAACACAGCTCCAATCAATTCCTGAGAAGTTTATTGCATTCCAGACAGCCAAGGACTCCCAGTCTGCCACAAACGGCTCTGACTTACTTTTTAAGGAGGACAAAGCGCTGGTGCCCCCGAAGAGCGAGCGCGTGGCCGAGCTGCCCGAGCCCCCCGGGGGTGGCACCAGCATCACCAGGTAGGTCCCACACGTGTAGATTGGGGTCTTCCTCAGCATCTTCAGGGGCAGCCCACAGCTGGTGTTGGCAGCTGCAACGTGCACCAGAGAAAAGTCACAAACTGCTCTTCTGCACAACAAGGCAGAGCTCTGCTCGGGGCTTCGAAGGAATCCGTATTTAGAAGCTTTGTTAAGAAGTTTCTACAGAATTCCAGAATGGTTTGGATCAAGATCATCCCATTCCAACCTCGTGGGCAGGGACACCCCTTCCACCAGACCAGGTTGCTCAGAGCTCCGTGAACCTGGCCTTGAGCATTTCCAGGGATGGGGCATCCATCACTTCTCTGTGGCCTCCCAACCTCACACATTCAGCATCAATCCCCACAAGGCTACAAAGAGTTATTAAACTAAAGAAAACAACTTCAAAATAAAATTAATAAAAAAATTAGGTATAACCAAAACTATTAAGAACTGTGTGGTGATAATTACATTGAAAGCACTTGGAGCCAAATTATCTCCTCACAGAGATCACTTGAGATTCACTATGCATTTACTATTTTAAGTTCTCTTGCTTCTCATGAAATGTGGACAATCCCAAATGATCTCCTTGCTGCAACAGCTGATCAACACTTTTTGAGTGCTGACTCAAGAATTAGCCAAGAATAGCCACTTAGTCTCCTTTTTCTGTAGCACTTGAGTTGTTAAATGGCAAAACACAACCTTTAAAATAGCTCTCCAAGCTAACTCCTTGCCAAATTCCCTGGAAGCAGAGCCATTTAATGTATAATTTATTTTTATGGAAATACTTTCAATTGTCTCAAATTGAAGAAAGAAAACTCATGTACTTGTGAAGGATAAAGAGAAGTAATTAAAGATAAACTGAATAAAATCTTCAGATAAATCTAACAAAGCTCCAGATCAGCCTGAAAGCCATCAGTGCAGCTCATTCAAGATTCCCCCATTAACTTGGGTTGTTTCCATAAAAGAATACCCAAACATTGTGCAGATGGGCTCAAAAAAGTGCTAAATCAGCTAAGATTTGTAACATTCCAGTGACTGGTGAAGCAATCATTCAATTTTCTAACCTGCAGGCCATTTTTACACCCATTGGTACACATTTTTACCAATTAGAAGCTCAGTTGAGCTGCAAACAGAGAAATACAACTACCAAATTCCCCAAACTAATTCAATAACGTAATTGGAAAAGGCTGCTTCCCATTTTTCCATCCCTAAACTTTCCTCGCAATCCTAATTTAGCAAAGGAACTGGTAATTCCTTTAAGCAAATACTGTGCTGATCTTCCAACTACATAACTGGGGAAACAAGAAAATCAAACACTTTTTTTTTTTTAAAACCTGTCCTAAGAGGTCAGCAATAAGCAGGATGCATGCTGTGTGTGTTAAGCAATGAAAAGTGAAGTGTTTCTGACCTGCCTGGTCCTCCTTGAGGGTGTTGGAGATGGTGGAGCCTGTGAGAGCAGCGAGGGTGGCCGAGGGGGAGGCGCGGTACCGGGACAGGCGGCTCAGCAGCATCTCATTGATGCTCTTGGCAGATTCCCCCTCTTTCCTCATCAGGATAATTCTTTCCTGCAGAGGATTTGCTATACAAATGCCATTTTCTACCTGGTAAAATGGGGGGAGAAAAAAATACTTTAGATGTTGGAATCCATAGGTGAGAGATCACCCAAATTGTATCAGGTAGGAATATGAAGTGAAACTTTGCTGACAGAAGTTCTTGCAAAAACAAAGTTCTGAAAGCAAGACAGGAGTATTTTTTTGTTTGTGGCTTCATGGTTCAGTAAAATAATTTAACAGAAGATATCTAACATATTTGAGATATTTAATAGGGTATCTTCTATTTATGCTTGTTCTTAAAGACAGAACTGCTTGTTGTAAACTTGAGTTTATTTAGGAAACTCTGCTTAAAAATATATAATTCTCTTGTATTTTCTTAGTGGTGTTTCACTTGCAAATCATTTGGCTCAATCATTTTTCTAGGCAAAAAGTGTGAGCAATGATTTCTTCAGACCATGATGTTCAGGGGAAGTTTTACTGCAGAATGCATCTCTTAATGAAGATGTGATTTAGAGCGTTAAGGATTTTCCATGAGTTGTACTACTACAGCCTCCCAATTCCAGCTCCACCATCCCACTCCATCCTCCTCTGCTGAGCAGAAATACAGACATAAAAAACACATTTTATGCTACAAGAGAATTCATATTGCTAAATATAATAATCCTCTGGAGATGGAATTGGACAGTCCACCTTCTGTTCTGTTCAGTTATTTCACATAAACCCATTCAGATCACGCCCATAAATATCCAAACCTAATGTGTCAATTTAAAAATGCTGATATTTAATTAAACTGGGTTATGCTACCAACATCAGGCATAGGAAACACACTATTTGCTTACTATAATTTCAAAAATATCCATAAAGACAGAGTGGCCTTTGGGGGTTTTTTCGTTGAGGCTTGCAGGAGACCAAATCCAGTAGAAAAAGGTGCCATCTGAAGAAAGATGTACGGTGGTCATAGTGCTGCCAACTGGGAAGTGATTTACTGGCATTGGGATTATCTGACATACCTATGAGACAGAAAGCATCTTAACAGGTCTGATTTTGCAGTTTGGCCTTACAAGTATGAACAGCATGAAAAAAATATAGAGATCAAATGCAGTTAGTGCAGAAGAGGCTTAATATTGGACTTAATAGTAGCATTACATTGATTTATTACCAACAGCTATTCTGTGATATTTGCCAAATATCCAAACCAGCTCATAGATCTCCAATTTAACCTATCTAAAAATAAAAGGATCATCTCCTCTCTAATGATGGAGAACAAACCCACAGTACCACAAGGAAAATACACATCCTATTGAGTCACCTACTTTCTGCAACTTCTCTCAAACATTGCTTGAAACTTGAGAAGAAAAGGGGACTCTAAACATTCTCAGTGTCAGGAAACACACTGGACATAAATGTGTATATCCATCCTTAAAACCACAGAAGGAAAAACCCCAAAGTAAACAAACTACCCCAGTTTTACAAAGGACAACAGTTGTTTATCCACAAATCACAACCAGATCTGAAACAACACCGGAATTTTGGGACAGGGGAAGACAAAGAGGTGCTCAGGAAGAACACATTCTTTATTTAAACCAAAGTCCATTTTGCTGTTGTTTGATTGCTTTAATGGAATATCTTGAGTGGGAAGGGTCCCACAGGGATCATTATCAAACTCTGGCCCTGCACAGACACGCCAACAATCCCACCCTGTGCATCCCTGGGAGCAGTGTCCAAATGCTCCTGGAGCTCTGGCAGCCTTGACCATTACCTGGGGAGCCCAGGCAGTGTCCCAGTACCTTGTGGAGGAAGAACCTTCCCCTGATACCCAACCTAACCCTGTTCTGACACAGCTCCAGCTGTTCCCCGAGTCCTGTCCCTGCACACAGAGAGCAGAGATCAGAGCTGCCCCTCCTGAGGAAGCTGTGGATTGGGCTGAGGTCTCCCCTCAGTCTCCTCCAGGCTGAACAAACACTACCAGTACCCCATAACATAGAACAGTGTAATTATAGATAAATACATATACTTATATATAAGACACACTGAAACAGTAACATCTCTACCATAACTTACACATTCACCACAGTCACTTCAAGGTGGGGTTAGAAAAACACGGTTTCACAAAACAAGAAACTTCAAAGATGAAACCAATTAAAGCTAAAATGTGTGTGATTGATTCAGCCTGCTTTTGCTCCTGTCCCCTTTACCTGCAGGGTATGTTGATCCACGAGCTGGAACAGGTAGTGGGGTTTGCTATCAAAGGACACGGGCCGATGCAGGAGTTTGCCGTTGCCAAAAGCCACCCAGCCCGTCTCCAGCTCCTCGTTCCGACAGTACACAAACCCCCTGGAAAAAAAACCCACCAGGATGTTCAGACTCCTTCAACCCCGCCCTGCTTCTTTGGGTTTTATTTCAAATAACAACCACAATGCAACCACAGTGTTGAACTTTGACTGAACTTATATTCAAGTCAGCAATTTTTGTTGTGAAAGGCTTTAAGCTGTAAAAAGCCTCGTGGTTTTCAAGCAATGAAGAAGCAAGGAGGTACAGTGAGTCACAGCTGCACTAATTACTTAATGAATGACATAATTAGCAAACAAACACTCACAAACTCAGCTATAAATAAGAAGTCACAGAACTGGTCTGTAGTATATCCCTCTCAGCAGAGAATCAACCAACTTACTAGATATTAAAAAATAAAATTGAATCTAAAATTCTGCTGCTGTGGAGGTTGAACTAATGGCCTCCACAGGTCCCTTCCAACATCAACTTATTCTTTAATTTTAGACAAAACACACTCAAGAATTTCAGATGAGAAACCACATCAAAACAGCATTTAATGAAAATTTACATTACAATCTGGAATCACAGACTGGTTTGGGCTGGGAGGGACCTTAGAGATCCCCTCCTTCCAAGCTCCTGGAAGAAGTGTCCCAAAACAGGACCTTTTGGGTTCCAGCAGCTGTGCACAACAGCCAAGACTGAAGTGTCCCTTACCTGAGGGTTCCGTGCAGGCCTGACCCCAGTTTGCTGATTCCCCTGCCCACAGAATTGGTGGTGTACAGGTAGAGCCCATCGGCTGCAAGGCACCGGCCCAGGTCTGCATCTGCAGCAGGAGCAAGGACAGCAGAGAGCACCTCTGTAATAAACATTCCAGCTGGGAATTCTCCCTGGGGGTTACACTCCATGGAAACCACCAGGTACTCACAGCAGGTCACTACCAACCCTTTTTTTAATAATGAATTTTTTTATTTGGTGCTCTAAGACCTGCTGTAACACAGGCACAGCTCAGCAAAACCAGTGGTTTCTTCCCATCTCCTTCAAGCCTCAGAGGTGCCCAGGTCTCACACAGTGTAAGAGAAAGAAGAATTTAATATTGAGCCTTGATCTCGTTTCTGCCAAACTCTGTGATTCTCCTAAAGCTACTCAGATCCTTCCACCTCTGAACACTTCAATTAAGACAAAATGTATTTGAATCACAGACCAGTAATTACTAATAATCAAGACAGGACACAAGTCTAGCCAATCTATTGAAGTTCACAGGATCTAGCCACTCAGCTTGGGAAGGAAAGGTCCACTCATTCTGTTGCCTAAACACCTAAAAAGAGATGTCTCCAATAAATCTGCAGGTAGCCTAAAATAACAACTCAGATTTTTAAATTCCTATGGATTGCATTAAATGTCACCAAAGCTTGAACTAATATTGCTAAAACCATGTGAACTCTTATTTATTACAAAAACAGTAAGCAAACAAAACAGTAGAAACTGAGAAGTAATTCAGGAAAAGAAATACAAAAGAAAGCATTAAAAAAAGAACTTCAAACTCAACTGGGTAGAAACAAAAGCAAAGTAGGAAAGAGGGGAAAAAACCCAATGAACTTGTGCTTCTAAAAATAAACTTGCTGTGCCACTGATAGCTGGCTACTGAACACAGGGATACTACACAGGGCAGTGATTATTCTCTAATGAGGGGATAATATCCAAACTCTGTCTGACCCCTCTGAAAAATTCCCACTGGAGTCAGGAAGGGTCACTGGATCAACTGTTTTGGACTGTTTCCCACAACCTGACAGTTTAGATCAGCAGCTGCTCTTCAGCAACCAAAAAGCAACATTTTTTGGGCCCCAACTCTGAAGTTTTACACCCATCTTTAAACAATTCTCAGCCTTAAAGCATCCTGTCCTCCTCTGCTGATAGTGACAAGGATGAAATAATTCACCTTTATTCTCACTGCTGGCACCAGTGTTGGCATCAGGGGCAGGTAACATGTCCTCAAAGCCCCAGGACACGATGTGCTTCCCTCCAAGCAGGCAGGAGGGGGATCCAGGGCCTCCCTCCAAAAGTAACAACCTTTTAAGCAGAAAATAAAATAAAATTTCAAAAAGAATAGCGGTAGGAAAAAACAGCTAAATTAAAAGTTAAGACGATGTATTTAAAGTAATTATTCTGTCAGAGTTCATAAGCCATTTAAAAGAATCATCAATATTTAATGAAAAAACAAAAACAAAACACCCAAAACCCAATCAATGCTTTTAGATTTGATTTTCTAAAGTTCTCTGCACATGACTAAATCTTCCCTAAAGCTTTCAATAACTCTAAAGCCTTTTAGTCACTTTTAAAGACATTCCTCCCTACACACACTTAATATATTTTCAGAGCTGCTGGAGAAGTTTATAAGGAGAAAAATCCTACAAACCTGTAGAGAACATCAGCCACAGGCAGGGACCCCAGCTCAGTCTGTTTCTGTAATAGATGCACTGTATGAACAAAGGTTTTCAGCGACCCTCTAAAAGGACAAGAAAAACATGAATTAAAGATGTCTATTGAAGCCAGACTGAACACACACAACAGCAGCCATGGAGAACACCCAGAACCACAGCCATGATATGGCACCAGCTTCTTTTCTAACTGGCATTTTTTTCCTGAAGGATGCTCATTCTTTGGGGAGGAAGGGTAAGGAGAAAGAGGGGGGCAGGCAGATTGCTGGGGAACCTCTGGCCTAAATTCCACCACCTTTTTTTGGAAGAGGCTGAAGCCCTAGTTGGGAGGCAAAGCAGCAGCCACAGGCTGGGTCATCAACAACAGGTTCATAAAGACAACCCAGGCACCTGATAGGACACCTCAACCTTGCTCCTGAGGCAGCTCTTCCAAGACTTCTTGTAGCTGATTAATCACATTCAGATCTCCAGTGCAACCCATGGATCTTCCTGGCTGAGCCCAAGTGTGAGCAAGGGCTGCTGCACTCCCACCTGGAGATACCTTTCCTAACTCAAATAGGAAAGACCAGACTCATCCATTTCTCATCAAGATTCTGACTTCTTTTCATAGAATCATGGAATATCCCAAGTTGGAAAGGACCACAAGGATCATCATCCAGCTCCTGGCCCTGCACAGACACCCCAACAATCCCAGGCTGTCCCTGAGAGCTTTGTCCAAACACTCCTGGAGCTCTGGCAGCCTCGGGGCCGTGCCCATTCCCTGGGCAGCCTGGGCAGTGCCCAGAACCTTCCCTGATCTCCAACCTAAACCCCCCTTGCACAGCTCCAGCCATTCCCTGGGTCCTGTCCCTGTCCCAGATATCAGAGCTGCCCATGACTGCCCTTCCTGAGAAAGTTGCTCCTGAGAAAGCATTGGGATGAGGTCTTCCCTCACAACCCCAAATTTGGAAGATCCAGAAGTCTTTAAAAATCTGTATTTTAGAATTTCTGTTTTAAAGGTCAGGGCCATTTTCTGGAAGATGTGATAGCTTTATTTCCAGGCATTGAAGCCCACCTAAGTAGGAGAACTTGGCTGTGTCTTAGGTCAGTTATGAGCTGCTTTCTCCACAAACAGGAGTGATCAGCTACAGAGGTCCTTGCCCTGCACTTTGCTGAATCCAACCTTTTGGTGTCACATGGTCAGTCAGCTCCCAAACTTCCCTCCTCCACACCCCAATCCCTGTTTTTCCCAGTGACATCTTCAGCTCTTTGCTTTCACTGCTAAACCTCAGCCTGGCGAAAATTGACGCCAAACACATTAAAGCACCTCAATTAATTATTTAAAGCAATATTTACCCTGTTGTTTTATTTTTAGCAGTAAGAAGCACCCAAGATTGCAACTAGGAATGTCAATAATAGTCTCATTTTCAAGGTTTTTTCTTCAATACATGATTTAGATGTTTAAAGGAAAAGTGTGAGGTTTTCAGAGGTGAACAAAGCACAATGGAATATTTCAACTCTCTAAGCAATGCAAGGCAGACTTGCAAAGAAAATAAAAGATCAACCTGAAGTTCAAAAGCTCTACTTGAAATTTAGCTCATCTGCAACAGAACATCCCATATTTCCTGAAAATTGACATCTGGGAAAAAAAAAAGAAATAAGACTGTGTTTATCAAATCCAATTTCTCTGAGGTATGTTCAAGTACATTGCCTTTCAGATAAGGCAGTTGTCAGAACAGAATAATTTGCCACATACCATAAATTTCTCAATGACTTCATTAAAACAAGTGCACTAGAAATTAAGTAGGTTTTATTTGAATAAACCTTTTCCTAAAGCAAATCATGCCACATCCTGGGAACTCCAACGTCTTAAATGAGAGTTAAACTTCACAGACAAGGCTGTGACCTGGAGAAACATTCAAACCAACGTTTCCAAAAGGCTCCTTGTGACTTTAAAGCCATATCCATGGGGCTTTGCAGACATTTTGTATTTCCTCCCCCTCCCTAAGCCCCATCCTCTCAAAATAGTAGGTTTTGATTACAATCAAATACGTCCAATTTGTCTTCAATCACTTGATGCCAAACCCATGCAGGGCAAGGGGTACTTTAACCTACAATGGTTGAACTCCTCACTAGCAACAAAATTAAAAAATACCTCCAGACATTTGAGAGACAACACTGAAATAAAATCTGAAAGGAATTGCCCTGAAAACTGGCAGTTCCACCTTCTCCAGCCAAAGAAAGGTGCAGGACAAAGGGAAAAGGAGACAACTTTTCTATTAGATAAACACATTTGGAACCAGTCCTAGAGCAGCTCACTGCAGTAGAAGCAGCAATGTGCACATGAGACATTGCTAACCCAGATCCTTCTGCTTTTGCATATGCTAAACACATGCAAAAAAGAAATGCTTAGCACTTTCACCCTTTCCAACCCAATATTTAAATATCAGAAAGAGAAAGGCTGGTGCAAACTAAAAATAACTATCACCAGTGCAGTCATATCATTTTTGATTTGTTTCAATGGAAAGAGAAAATGAACACCAACCACAGCATTGCCCAGGGGTGCTGGAGTCACCATCCTGGAAGGGTTCAAAAACCAAGGATGTGGAATTCGGGGATATGGGTAATGGTGAATCATGGCTGGACTTTGGCAAAATTCCTTAATTCTCTCTATTTTGCCAGTAAACTTTTGTGTGCTCGTGACCGCTTAGAGAACATCTGGTTGGGATTTCACTTTACGCCAAACCTCAAGAACCTCAGCGTAACCCTTGAATTTAAGAATTTCAGGGCGCTACATCCAATCTTAACAATCCCACGATTCTCTGTTATTTCAGTTCCCTTACCTTGCACAAGCCAAGGCAACCAGGGCAGCAGCAGCATTTTCCTTCTGCTTGTAGGGGATGTGCTGGCCGGAGGGCGCCGTGTCCTCGAGCCAGGAGCAGAGCAGGGACTCGATCCCGTTGAGGCAGTCGGCCGGTTCCTTGGTCAGGCTCAGGGGCTGGCAGTCCCGAAGGCAATTGAGCAGCACCTCAGCAGTGATGTTACACAGGGAAGGGTCCGTCCTGCTCTGCGACTGGATCAGCGGGAACACCAGCAGCAGCCCCATGCGGGAGGTGAAGGGAGCCTGCTCCGGCTGCTGTAACAAGCCCTGGCGCTTGAGGAGGGTCAGGGCCTCCTCGTCCCCGGAGCTCTCGCGGTCATGCTGCTCCTCCAGGGCCAGCTGGCGCTGGGCGTTCCAGAGCCCGCGCAGGGCGTTCAGCCGGTACTCCAGGAGCCGCGCGTACGCGTTGCTCTGGTTGCCGCACACCGAGCGCAAGCGCTCCGCCAGCTCCGTCGGGTTCTTGGTCTCGAAAGTCAGGATCTGGAAAGGGGAAAGTGGGGTGTTTATAGAGGGTTTTAAAGGGGAAAAAAAAATAAATCTCATATGGTTGTGGTGTGGTTTTTAGATCAGCTGTTCTCTGCAGTAGATGGAGGGATGTTATTTTTAATTTTTGGGGCCAAAGAACAGGCGAGTGGTGTTGTGTCCATCTCGGGATGAGGAGTGATGGCCATAAACTAAACCACATGGAATCCCATGAACCTCTATCCATGGAGGATGGCAAAGAACTGGGACAGCTGCCCAGGCAGGGTGTGGAGTCTCTCTCAGGACATGTCACCTGCTCCAGGTGACCCTGCCTTGGCAGGGGTTCGGGCTGGGGGATCTCCAGCAATCCCTTCCCACCCCACTGCCGTGGGACTCTGTGAGCCTGTTATTCCCGAGTCAGCATCCTCACCAAACCCGGGTTTGGGGATTGCTGACGGGGATTTTTAAGCTTTCAATAAACAACAACACAGATTGTAAAGAAAAATACACACGTGAAAGAGTAGCTTGGAAAACAAATGCTCCCCTCCTCTGGAGGTTTTTTCTGTAATTGAGGCAATTTTGCTAAAAACTCCAAAAGAACTGCGAGGTTGGAGGGTCCCCAGGGGTTTAGAGCCCTTCCATGAAAACGAATAGGTCACTAATATTGTGTAACAAGAACATGCTAGTTCTAGTTTTGGAGCTCTTCAAATAAACAAACCAACCAACCAAACAGTTTATTCCAAATTACCAAGAGTTCTGTTACACTCTCTCCCTCCCCTGTTTTTTTCTGTCTTACATTTTATCATCTTGCACTTAGCTACACTTTTCTCAAAATACTTCAGGTTGCTGCCGTAGTTAAAAACCCTAAAAGTCTCCTCCTCATCATTTCAGACAGAAGAAAGAGGCTTTTTTGGCACTTCTAAATAAAACTGGAAACCAAGCTGGAACAACAGAAAACAAGTAAAGCATGACACACAAATGTATTTATGGTTTAGTACCCAGTCTGGGACTGGAAAACTCAGAGTTTTAAGTAATTTACAGACCACTTTTCTCCTTCCAGCAAACAAGAGTTGAGATCAGCAAAGTCACTGAAGCTGTGGCAAGCTCAAGGAAAGCCATGAGCCAAGCATTTTCTGATACTCTGGATCCAGTGTCCAAAGGGATTTGGTGTCCAAAGGGCTTCTGGCCACACTCCAGAGTGCCTCATCTCATCCACCCTCAAACACAATTTTTGGCCCATCTTTATGCTGTAAAACTGTCCTTCTCTCATTTAATAAAGAAATATAAATGTGGGAAGGGGAACGTGAGAGACAAAGCTGCCATGGGGAATGGCATCCAGGGCTGTTTGTTTTGTGGGGTTTTTTAATTGCAGGCAGCAGTCATAGAGATCATGAAATAAATGTTTCTGGCTAATTGCAGACTCCTGAACAGCTTGTTAAAATGCTGCAGGACAAATCACATCTGCCAGTGCTACACAGCCCTGACTAAAGGCACAGAAACAGCTTTGCAGTAGGACTTTGACCATTAGAGCCAGGAAAAGTTCACTTGAAAGGAATTCACATCATAATTACACTTGAATGGATGCTGTATTGAGCTCCTTATACCTAATAAACCTCCTTTAATTAAGTTCTCCAAGAGATTATGAATATTAATTCCTAAACCACATATTACACATTTAAAATAACCACCTCCTGTTGTGTGTTCTGCTGTCTCAAAAATAAGTTTGTTTCCCATTCTAGATGGAATCACTTTCTACAACAGTTAGCTTTTTATTTTCTTGAACTAAACTCATGGATTCTCCACTAAGTGACAACAAGCTGAAGAAATGGAGGAAAAAGAGAATTAATATTTGCATTTTCAGAGTTAAATGCTAAAAGAAAACAGGTCTGTGGTCTTTGCTAATAACAAAGATACCACCACAAACGACAAGCTGTGATGTACTTGGTGTTGCATGTCTTGCTCCTCAAATCCCACAGATTAACAGAAAAATGAAATATTTGTTGCCTTTGATATGGCTCTACAGCTCTTAGTCTGTCCTGTAGCAATCAGGACGAGTCAGTGTCATCAGTTTTGCTGATGAAAAGCCTTTTCTTGCTGAAGTTTTAGTTTCTCCCTGATCCCACAGTTCCCAATTTGCTTTAAAAGCATGCCTGGTCTGTCTGGGATTGGTAAGAGCATTTTGCCTCAGTCTTTCACAAGGGAAATGAGCACTAATTTGGGTAAATGATACAGGAAATACATCAGCTTCAACAGATTTACAAGATCCTTCCAAAATGGGACTTTGAGACTTTTGATAATGCATCATCTGATTTTCATACACGGCTTATGGAACCAGTGGAAAAAATCTTAATTATTCAACACCATCTGAGGGTCTAAGCAGGCATTTGCACTTCCATGAAACAAAAGGGTATTAGAAGAAAGGTGTGAGGTCATCTGCTGTATGGGACACTTCAACAAATTAAATTAAAGGCTGTTTTCCTCAAAAGCCTTTTTAGCAGAGGTCAGTATTCAGAGCTACCTCCAGAAAAGAGCCTGAAGAGCAAATGTTCCAGTGAGGCTGGGACAAACACCCTGGAGCTTCCAGGGTTCAGACTCATCCCAGGGAACAGCTCTGGCTCTCCCTGGGAGCCAAATCCAGTCCTTCCCACCCCAACAGTGCCAGATTCACTTGGCCCCTGCCAGATCCATCAGTGCTTCCCTCTGGATACATTAAAGACTCCACACAGGAATTCCAGCCCTTGCCAGGATATCTCCAGGCAAAGCTTGTCATCTTCCAACTATCTGAAGTCAACACAAGTTAAAATAAAATGCAAGAAAACCCCCATCACGTTATTTCACAAATTCTGATACAAACAACAAAACTAGCAGTGTTTATAAAAGGTAAAATTCCCTTTCCTGCTGCCTCTGGGCAGCCTCAGGATTTACCTGAGCTGCAGCTCTGATTTGGGACTGATTTCCAGCACCCTTCTGGGGTGCCTCGATATTTCCCTGTGCAACCCCTGGGGAGGTGTCAGGGGCAGACACCAAACCCAGCCCCACACAAACCTCACTGAACCAGTCCCTGATCCATCACTTCCCAACTCCAAACATTCCTGACTAACAAGGCTTGGACAGAATCAAAGAGGATGAAGAGGATGTAACAAACATCACTTTGCCATAGAACAGGTTGTCCAAGTAGCTACTACTTACACATCACTAAAACCTGTTATTAAATAGTTAAATTGTCACTGTTTTAATTTTACAGTACCTTATCCTTACACATTATTTCCTTGTTTGATCTTTTAAATCAATTTTAGTCAATATTTTAATTAGAAAATGGTAGAGCCAAAGTTCAATCACTCTAATTGGTCCTTGACATCTTCTTCAACATCAAGAAGCACAAAAGGTATCTGATTTTAGATGAACTATGGGGAGGTGTCATCTTTCCCACTGTATCCAATATTTGTCCTTTTGCATCCCACTACATGACCTCACCCAGGTAATTCTTCCCATTAAAGAGGATTTTTGCCAAATCTGCTCCAGAAAGGAGTGGCTGACATTCCCTGTTTTCAGGGCAAAATGTTTCTCTGCTGATAGTAAATACCACACCAAGTAAAATTAACACATACTAATATACATGAAGAGTTTTAGCCTGAGGTTTTATGACCCTATTAAGTAAATTTAAATGTGAGCTGCCACTAAAAGGCAGCTTTCTCCTCTGGCTACAATTCCTGCCCCTTGTCCTCTCACTGGTGCCTGTAGGGGGTGAGTATTTTAATTCTGCTACACAGGGAACTGAGGGGCAATGAAGCTGTGCACAAAGAGGGGTTTTTATCCTGAACTTGCATATTGAAAAGGGAAGCCTCTAAATCTCCCCAACAACATTTAATTCTTTCTCTCCAGAGTTCAACTGGCTGAAGTTCACATCTGAAGATGAAGATGGTGGAACATTTATCAGGATCAATTACATCCCTATACCCCCTTGAGTATTAAACATGGATTATTTCCATATGACAGGAGGTACAAACCAGACAGAAAAACAGAAACAACCTCAAAATTGTAAAATATCTTTAAAAGCAGCATGACAAAATTAAATTTTATTACTCTGACCACCCCATTTCAGGTATAAAGTCATGCCTCTTGTACAGAATTAACAAAGAGGCAGCACCACTTGTTTACTTGGCTCTTTTGTCTCTAGAAACACCAATAAAACAATGTAAAAAGACTAAATTACAAAAAGTATGGATTATTCTGTAAGAGAAAGAGCACAAGTGACAGTTTTAAAGGTACCCTGAAGATTGAAATACACATCCCAACTGAACCTGCTCCATAAACAACCCGGTGTCCTTGTCTCCCACTGTGCTGGGGAACAGCCTTCCTGCTCTTGGCATTTTCTGGGACATCCAGCACGAAGCTGCCTTGGTGCAAAACCCACCTGAATTTCTTCTAAAACATTTCCTAGCCCCTCTCTAAGGCTTTTTCCTTGGTACACCACGTGCCAAATGTATAAATATGTGTGAGCATTTTCTCCCTGATGTTTTAGCAGCTGCTGCCCCTCACACCATGCTTTAGTGTTGCAGTTAAAAACTACAAGTTTTTAACTGGTTGTTCCAATTTTTTCTGCTCCAAGAAATTTTAACCTTATCCTCTTGTTCAAAGCCTCTGCTGAGTCCTGTGTGGAGCAGTGCAGGTTTTTAACTACTCAGCTAAAAGCATAATCTATTTTCTTCTGTGAAAGCACTGGAAATCTCATTGCTCACAAATAAGCACTAAGACACCGCTATCTTTTACAATTTCATCCCAAATAAGTTTTGTAACCATAAAAATTTATGAAATAACCTTTCTATATGAGATGAATTACAGAGAACAAGCAAGCTGTAAATAAATAAAATGCTATAAAGTGTTGTTTCTTTGCTCATTAAAATATTTCTTTGGCTCTTACTCAAGTAGTAGGTGAAAACAGCTGCAAAAGGTAAAGAAAAATCTTTGTAATTTAAGCATCTGAGAGTGCAGATCACTGAATTAATAGGCTGCAATTGGTAACAAGATCTATATTTGGGAAACAGATTTGCAAAATCATCCTTGAGAAGTTTCCTAATGTTTCTCTACAAGGTTACCTAAAATACAATTTCAGACTCAAAAGTCAGAGGCACAGTGGTCCATATTAGAGAAGTTTAATAAATTCCAAGTCCTGGCAGAGGAGCCCTGGGGCACTGGAAGGGGATGCACGGGCAGGATGAGGGTGCTCCAAAGCCTGCCACACGCCTGGATCAGCAGTTTTCAAGTCAGAGGTCACAAGCCCAGGAAGGGTCACCCACTTAGGAAGGAGTCAATTGTTGATCGTGGCATTAGGGACCTTCAGCATGACAGAGGTGACGCTTGTAGATGGCAGAAAGGTCACAAGCAGAAAGGTTTGGGAAGCACTGACCCAGATAATTGCAGGGAACTGCTCGCTCCTTCAGCAATCAGGGAAAAGTGACAAAATGTTTTCTCTGGGCCGGGAGGAAAATGGGTGAAAACTTCCAAGTTTAGCAGAAACCTTCCAGTCTAGATCATTTTATGGCAAACACAAGTCAGTCACAGGACTGGCACATGCTGAGAAAAAAGAACTGGACTTCAGTTCTTCAACCTCTCTGGAGACAGCCAGCCCAGGCCACGCTGGGGGGAAAGAGAAAAGGCCACCACTTTTTCCTTATTTGTTTCATTTTTAATTTTTTTTTTACCTTCCACTCAAATAAAGGTAACTATTTTCAGTGCAGAGCCACACCTGCCCAGTGGCACCTCAGTCCCACAGAACAGACCTCAACAAGAGTCCAAACACCAGATGAGGACAGACATGATCCCAACATCTACTGAGGGAGGAGCTGCACTCCCAGCTCCATGGGAAAACCAGAGGAAGGCTCCCTGCCCATGGCAGGAGGGGATACTGGATCATCTTTAAGGTTCCTTCACCCCAAACCACTCCGGGATTCTGTGGTGACTCTGCAGAGCTGGCAGATCAATCCTCCCTGGGCTGAGGGAGCTCCCCTCCTGCAGACCAGCCCTGACCACGCTCCAGCCTCATTCCAGGGAAGATTCTGCAAGTGCTGCAGTTCCCTTTGGGCCACATTAAGGAGCAGCTCTTCCTCCACTCCATGTCCCTCCTGGGTGGGCACTGACCAGCCAAAATGTCATGGTAACACCTCCAGCTCTGTCACTGAGGGTTGTCTCCAAGAAGCAGAAGACTTTGCTCTTCCAAAGATTTCTCTGTGTGAAAGGTTTTAAAATAAAGGTCCAAAGGCTTCTGTAATCACTGACTAATCCAGGTCTTCCCTGACTAGAGGATTTTAGTAGGAAACCAAGTGCACCAGGAACAGCTGGTTCATGCATATTGTTACAAAATTCTATCAATTTTTTTTAAAAAAGCCCTAATTTTCTGTAAATATGCTGAAACAATCTAAGAAGTTGGTACACATCATCACAGAAAAAATAAAACCAGAGCAAAAACCTCCACACCCTTTAGAACTCAACATACTCCTATAACAAACTGAAAGATAAGATTAAGGCTCTTGTAACATACCACTAAAGTATATATGTATAAATACAAATGTATACAAATACACAAAAATATAAAATCAAAGCCGCATGGGAGTCAAAGTAACAAAAGAATAAGTTTTCATAAGCCTTTCTTGGCATAACACCAGCGCTGTAACCTTTTTTCCTCTGCTTTTCTTTTTATAAATAGACAGAACCTTTGAGCAGAAGGACAAAGGAAACACATCCAAACACACTGACATTAGTCACCAATATGCTCTTTAAATGGATATTTAGGCAAAACAGATCGGAATGATACTTTCCCACCCAAAAAAATATCCATTAGAGTATTAAACATTATACATTTTTAATTAAGCACTTCAGCTCCAAAATTCAGCCAGGCTTCTGACCACCACTGATGAAGCACAAGAAGTGAATTAAAGAAGTTTCCTAATCAAAGCAGCAGCTGCAGCATCTCCTACCCTTGGCCAATAGCACATCCCAAGAGATTTCTGTTTGGACCATTTTCAAAGATATTTATTACACTGCAAGTAGGAGTAGAAAGAGTGTAAATGAGCTCTTGTGTAGCAGTCGATTGCATGGCCACACGTCAATCAGATGTGTGCACCTATTTCCACAAAATGGCTCCTCAAAGCCATTCCACATCACCAAAGTACCCCTCATTTAAATGAAAACAGCATTAAAAAAAGGCACAGAAAAGTTATGAGCTAAATATTTTACATTTGCATTGTGTGAATTTTCATTTCTTAAAACCTTTCCCCCTCAATACCAAACTCTAAACCAATTTGCAGATATCTGAAAATGAAATTGATCACATGTAATCATCAATTCTATCAGTGGACAGAAATAAAAGGCTTTCATAAGCTGTGACTTAACAATAAAGATGAAAATGAATCAAAATGAGTACTTATCAAAAATAAGCACAACAGCAAAAAGTCATATTTAATTATTTATTTAAAAGTTTTGCACTGCAAACATGAACAAGAAAAAAATCTCCGGAGCAGAAAAAAATGAGGCGAATCAGTGGCACTGAATTGCTGCAACTTGTTACAATAAATGTCATAAAACACAGGATACAGTAGCACCAATTCCATTCCTGTCTCTCCCAAACAACTGGAGTTTTAGTACATTCTTAACACTAACAAAAAAATTCTCCAGAGCTGAAGTGCTTGTCAAGTGAAGCTGTGTGTCGAGTTTCAGGCTGGAACACTCTTCTGGCCTGGCTGGCAAGATCTTAAAATAAGCTCTTGTTTGTTTTTTAAAGGATATCCTCCTTCCTTATGATATAACATGAAAAATGCTGCTAGAGCACATTATTTTTCTAGCACAATTTTTAAACTCAATGCTGCTTCTAGAACTATGCCATGGAATCAAAATATTTTCTTGCATCCAAGCTGCACTGAATGCCAGAGCAACTCTGATCACAAAGAAGAATCATTCCATGTTTATACACACAGAGATAAGTCAGCCACCTTAAAAATCTCCCTTTTCCTTTTTATGTGATATTTGCCAACATCCATTTCACGGGAGCAGCTGATTTCTCCACACCATTCCCCAGTGTCCCAACACACAGGACGGAAAACGCACGTTCTGCAGAAAATATCTTTCCTTAGATAAGGCTGGGGGAAGTTTCCCCAAAGCCCGTAAAGATTCCACATCACCCAATGAACAAAAATGTTGTCAGGACTGCTCGTGGGGTCCTCTCAGCAACAGCGCAGACAGCAGCTAAAGGCTCACTAAAAGGGGTTTTTCGGCCTAAAATGCCTCGGATCAAACAGAGCCCGGAGGAAAAGCTCCGGTTGGAGCGTCCCCTGTCCGCTCCCAGCGCTCGGCTCCGGTGACAAAGCCCCTGTGTCATTGCGAGCCACATTGCCGGGGAGGAGGGTGGGGTGAAAGAGGAGAAGGGAGGCACACAGGGGAAAAAAAAAAAAAAAAAATGCAGTCTACCAAATAGATGCAACCTATAATCCGTGACATTCAGTCCTTCAGCGGCTCCTCCTAAGATAAAACAGCTGCACCGCCTGCCTGCAGCCAACACCAGGGGCAGTTCTGGGAAGGTAAAAAGATGGGATGAAAATCTGTGCTGCCCTCCTGGCTCCTTAATCACGATCACTGTCAACAGCTGAATAAAACACCTGAACATGTCGTTGTAAGGCTGATAATTACAAACCGTCTAAAAGTAACAGCAAGAAAACAAAAAACCTTCAATAAAAACAAACGGGCCAAAGGCCACGCTGAAATCCGTGAGTGCGGCTCTGATTTCCAAACCTTACGGATTCAAAAGAAGGAGGACGCACCAATACTTCACCCCCTCCATTTACATCAGCACCTCACCATCCTCCTGCCGAGCTCCACTTTCATTATTATCCGAAATAAATTAAATTGACTCAAGAACGCAGAACGCCTCGACACCGGCTGGCTCCGGACCCCAGGTCCCTCACCCGGCATCCGCACGCAGCATCCTCCATCCCGGCCCCCCATCCTCCCCGAGTCATCCTCCCTGCACCCCCATCTCCCATCCCCCGTCCTCCTCGCCTCAGGCCTCCGCTGCCACCGTGCCCCTCTCCCGAGGGCATCCTCCCCCTCAGCCCCCGGCCCTGCCCCGTCCCCCCCGTCAGCTCCCGCGGCCGCCTCACCTCCAGCTCGGTGTCGCCGGGCTCGGCCACCCCAATGATCTCGCTGGGCAGCTCGGCCAGGTCGGTGACCCGGATCAGCCCGTCGTGCAGGAAGATGGTCTCCTCCTTCACCGACAGCCACTGCGCCGAGTCGGTGGCCGCGGCCGCCGAGGCGGCAGCCGGGGACCCCATGGCGCGGAGAGCGGGGGGGCTCCGCAGGGCTGAGGCGAGGCGGGTCCCGCTACCCGCCCATGGCGGGGGCAGGGCGGGGGCAGGCGCGTCCCCAGCGGCCTGGACGCCGGACAGCCGGGGCGCGGCGGGCAGCAGCGAGGAGCGGCGCGTTGCCACCGCGGCGGCGGCGCTCCGGGGAGCTCCGGGAGCCGCCGTGCCCCCGCCCGCAGCGCCGCGTCCCGCGCCCGCCTCACACACACCGCTGACAGCGCGACGCCATGTTGGGGGCTGAGGCGCGCCCGGCGTGCACCGCGCGGGGAACAATACACCCGGCCCCCTCCCAGCCCGCGGGGCCCCGCCCCGAGCGCCGGGGCCGCCCCCGGCGCCGGAGCTCCGCCCCCGCCGCCCGCGCCGCGTGTGCTCCGCTCGCTGCTTCACCCGCCGCTCGCTGCTTCACCCGCACCGGGCACGGCGGGGAGGGTAGCAACCGCACCGGGAAGAGCGGGTCACCTGCACCGGGCGCAGCGCCGCACCCGCACGCTTCTCTGAGGGGAGCGCTCCCCTCAGAGCTTCACCCCGCTCATATCGCACCTCACCCGCGCCAGGGAGAGCGGGTCGCCCGCACAGCGAGGAGCGCATAAACCGCGCCGGGTGCGCTCCCCTCAGCGCCTCACCCGGGGAGCGGCGCACCCGCCCGGGTGTTCTCCCCTCAGAGCCTTTTCCTCACCCGCCCGGGTGTTCTCCCCTCAGAGCCTTTTCCTGACCCGGGGAGCGGCATAAACCGCCCGGGTGTTCTCCCCTCAGAGCCTTTTCCTAACCCGGGGAGCGGCGCACCCGCCCGGGTGTTCTCCCCTCAGAGCCTTTTCCTAACCCGCCCGGGTGTTCTCCCCTCAGAGCCTTTTCCTCACCCGGGAAGCGGCATAAACCGCTCGGGTGTTCTCCCCTCAGAGCCTTTTCCTCACCCGCCCGGGTGTTCTCCCCTCAGAGCCTCACCCGCACCGCGGGGCGCTCCCCTCAGGGGTTGCTCCCCTCAGCCCCTAGGGACGGTCCCCTCAGGGCTTCACCTCACTCCCCTGGCACTGCCCCGCCGTCTCACCCTCACGCAATGGCCACTCCCTCAGCCCTTCACCTCCCTCCAGCCTTTGCCCAAACCGAGAGCTGCTCCCTCAGCGCTGTTCTCCTCAAGTTTCCCTGTCAACCCTCTTGGCTTGCTTACTGGGCCGCTCTGAAGCTCCCCATTTCCCTGCAGGGCTGGTTCCTCACGTTCTCCCTTATGGTTGTTTCTGCTCATCCCTATTTCGTCTGTCCCCTCACAGAATGATTTCCTTTTCTCTCTTCCCCTTGCCCCGCTCTGTCGCCACCTCACAGGATTCCTGTCACCTCTCAAGGAGCTTTTCCCAAAGAACTCATAAGCAAGCAGGTATGTCCCTTCAAATCTGGATTTATGGATTTCAAAGGCTGTAAAGCAAAAGGGTTGCGACACCTCAGTATGTGTGGAAAAACGGAGATCCAGAGGAAAATTGATCCTTCTTTCTCAGCCTAATTTCACCCTCAGTCCCCTCAGACCTCGCCCTGAGCCCGTTCAGAGGCACAAAGTGTCACAGGCAGCTGTACCTGGATGTTCAGCAAAGGATGTGCTGCTGAGACAAATCATGTTAATGAGAAAGACGCGGTGATAAATGTTAAATAGTTTTAGTGGATAATTGCTGTGGGGATTCCCATTGCAGTGTCTGCTTTTCATGGAACAGTGACTGTGCACAACTGAGCAGAGATGGAGCTCTATGCATTTATTTACCTGTTTGATCAGATTAAATTATTTAACATATTAGTGCATTATAACAAACGTGCAGTGCTATTATTGCAGGAGCAGCTTATTCAGAGCTGGAGTAAAATGAGATCTACCACCAGTGCTTTATATCCTATTAAATCTGGTTGGGAAGAAGCATATTTTTCCATGTAATGGATGACCACTCAACATAGGACCCACACAAAGCCCATTTGTAGTCCTGATTCAGCAGTCTGAGCACTCACATCATTGTGTAGCTTGTTTTTGAGGCCAGTTCAGTTGACACAGGGTTCAGGTAAGTTCAAACAAGCAGTAATTTAGAGATCTGTGGGATAGCTCTGTGCACTGTTTGGTAGGACATCCCTGCTATTCATGTGCTGGAGAGTTAGAAGAGTTTCCAGGCTTGGTTTATTCTAGAAATAGATATTATTTGCCTCTGTGCAGCAGTAATTTTTGGACAGGGAGAGTGTGCAGAGCTGCCATCAATAGTTTTTATGAGTGAGAAGCTTCATGGGCATCTGTTATTTTTGGTCAAGATGTGACAGAGAGAACAACGGCTGCAGACTGACCCTGATCCTCCCGTGGGAGCCCTGGGAGGAGTCAGAAGAGAGGGAATGCTGAGATTGGAAGATTTTATGGCAGGTGGGACGTGGCAGCTGAGTTCTGGCAAGGGAGATAAGCCAGGCTCCTGAAGGCTCCTTGAGCAAGGGGAAAACTCCTGGGGTTGGATTAGTCACAGCATTTCATGAGGAGACAGCCACGGGTGTTATTGTTGTGTTCCCAGAGTGGGAGTTTGACATTTTTTTTCATTCATCCACACGTGAGAGGAATAGAGGGAGAGAAACACAAAGTGTTGTGTGTGCATTTCAGTGGGAGTAACACTCCACCAAAAAAACATTCCATCTTTAGATCTTGTGGTACTATCATGGTGCTAGTTGAGTATCTTCCACAAAATCAACACAAACAGCACAGCTGGGAGTCAAATGGGATGTTCCCTTCACAAGCAGGGTGAAGGGGATCAGCAGAAGGGGTTTGCAGTGTTTTCCAGAGATTTGGATGTACCTGTTCTCCAAAGGCACGGAGGCTGGGTAACCCCAGGCTGAAAATGCTTTGTCTGCAGCTCTTTCCAAGGCCTCCTGGGCTGCTTTATCCCACAGGAATGTAGCTGCCACAGCAGCATCCAGATGGAGAATCCATGTTTGATATGGCTGTGGATTCAATCCTCTGCCTTGGGATGCAAGCCAAGGCCTTTTACAGGAGTGAGGAGCTGACTCAGAGCCAGGAGAGGCTCTGGAAGCTTCCACAGCAGGTGAGGCACTGAACGAGGTGTGTGGCCACGTTATTCCCTGGCAGGGGCTGTGCTCTGTCCTTTGTCTGGGGGCTGGTGACAGTTTCTCCCAGGAAGGATCCTGATCCATGTGGGTTTCTCTGGGAAGTCACCTGAGCTGCCTCCACTGAAAACAGCCCCCTTGGCTCTGACCTGCACATTGTGCAGATGTTTTGGAAGTCTTCCTTTTAGCCAAATCTGTGTGAAGTCTTCCCAAGCTGAACAGAAGGGATATTCACCATTTTATAACTATTGGTTTACTTATTTGGAGTTCTTCTAAATTCTATTGACTTGACAATTCAATGTTAAAAAGCAGTTATGGAATGAAAGCAATGGAATAAAACTGAGAAACGTACCCTGTCCTGCCTCACTGCGGGTAAGTAAAATAATTACTGCTAAATGTAATTTCCTAAATTATTTTAAGTGCCTGCCATTCAGGAATTAAGAGTGTGTTGTACAATCTATAAACTTACATGGAATGCTGATGTAGCTTCCTACATGGAATTTTCAGCACTAGGGCTGTACTGGATGCAGCAAACTCCATGCAGTTTGCCTGGCATCTGCTGCAGAAGATGTTGTGTAATGGAATAAAAAAATATAATATTTGTGTTCTGCCTGTCACCAGCAAATGTCAGCCACTGCAGCTTCAATGTGCAGTCAGAGGGGTACAGAAGCAACTACAAAGAAATCTTGGACTACTTTATGGGAAGACTTGAAAAATAGACCAGAATAACTTAGTGACATAGATCATCAAGCTGAAGGAATAAAACCCTCAACTTGTAAATAGGCTCCTACAGAAAACCACTCTTTTGCTTCCATTATTTTGCATTTTTTTCCATTGTTTTGGAGCAGATGTTGAGTGTTCTTTGAGCTGCTATGGTTGCCTTTGCCTCTGGTGGCAGGATTTTGGGATCAGCTCCTTCCTGTGCAGGTCTCCTGTGTCCTTGTGCTTCTCTGGACATCACAGACACTGAGATTTAGCAGAAGATGCTCATGGGCTGTGGGCAAAAATTCACTCCTGCGAGCTGCGAGTGGAAATTCCCTATTCCTGCTTGGAATTTGCCCATTATGTAATGGGATTTAAAGCAGCATTGTCTCACCCTTCAGTTTAATTTTACATTAACAGCTATTATGTGTGGGGAGAACTCTTTTCATCCCAAGGCTTTGCTGTGTATCTTTCTGTTCATTTAGAAGTGACACTTTCAGTTACAATGACCATTGTGACACTAAGAAATGTGTGAAAAAGAAAAAGAAGTTGCTATTTTTATGTGGTCTGCACTAACCAGATTTGCAGACCCTGAATCCTGGCTCCTCTGCCTGGTACTTGTTATTTAAAGAGCCCAAATGCCATCATTAATAAGGCCACTACCCAAGGAATACTGGCATTTCTTAGCACATTATCTGGGATTAAAAAATAAAGTTTCTCCAAGTAAAACTCAGAAAGGAGTGAAGTGGAAAAAAAAAAATCAATGATTGAAAGAGGAGAAGGAAGAAACTAGACAGTGAAATAAAATAATTCCAAACCTCAGAAATGTATTTTAATTCCAAATGGAAATATTCACATTTTTCTCACTTAGAAGAGCAATAATTGCTGAAGATTGCAAGGTGGGTTTGAGGGAGGAAGAACAAATAGATATTTTTGTTAAAATGAATAAGGGTTATAGGAAAGAAGAGTATGAATCACTACCTTGCAAAATTGGACAGGAAACAAATGTAAATTGTGGAATCACAGAATCTGGGAATCCTGGAATGGTTTGGGTTAGAAGGGAGCTCAAAGCCCATCCCATTCCAGCCCCTGCCATGGGCAGGGACACCTTCCACCATCCCAGGTGGCTCCAAGCCCCATCCAACCTGGCCCTGGACACTTCCAGGGATGGGGCAGCCACAGCTGCTCTGTTCAGTCTCTTCCACTGTTGAATTGTCTTTACCTTTAAGGAGTTTCCTAAACCATTACTATTGCAATTTAACCCTTTCCAT